CTGTCATATTTTGAAAGTGTCTTTTAAAAATATTTATTATTTTTATTTTATGTGTACTAGTGTATTGCCTGCATATATGTGAGTGCACCCGTGCATGCAATGCTGCAGAGGTCAGAAGAGGGCTTCAGATTCCCCTGGAACTGGAGTTAAGGACGGTTTGTAGCTGCCATGTGGGTGCTGAGAGTCAAACCCGTGTCCTCTGCAAGAGTAGTCAATGCCCTTAACCACTGAGCCATCTCTTCAGCCCCTTGAAAGGATCTTTAAAAGGCCAAGAACATTTCATTGTGGATCAGACAGAAGGCATCCTTAAGTCAAGAGAAATTTGCAGAGTAGGGCTGTCTTAGCTCTTGGACAGCAATGGAAGGCTGGGGTGACAGCATGTGGTTAATACCAAGGCTTGCATTAGAACTGTGAACGGTCCACTTATGACCGCTACCCCAGAAGAATCAAGTGGAACCCAAGCCACCAAGGGAGTGGCCATCTGGGCCAGGGGCTTCCTGGAAATCAGCTTAGCCTTCATATGGATCCCATCAGCTCAAGGCTAACAAAGCCTTACTCTGAAGACAGCAAAGAAATCAAGCCCAAGATGTAAGTGGCTTCTGGAGATGGTGCACAAAATAACTGGTCGTAGTGGCAACAGGAGGTTGAGGTGAAACTGCGATTTCCTCTTTTCTCCGCAGGGGTGTCGTGGCAACCTCTTAAGTACAGGTCAAAATCATAGGCCCTTATCCTTGGTGAGTTCACACAAGGTGAGCAGTGGATTACCAAAGAGTCAGGCTAGCCAGCCAAGTTCAGCAGTATCAGCAAGTTACTGAGGCTCTCAGAGTCACGGTTTTCCAACTTTAAAATGAACAAAATAGGGGCTGGAGAGATGGCTCAGAGGTTAAGAGCACTGACTGTTCTTGCAGAAGACCTGGGTTTGAAAAAATAAAAGTCAGGAGCCATGAAGTCTCTCAGGCAGGTCGCGTACTGGTCAAGAATTCCAACTTACTGATAAGTAAGTTTTATGGCCGAGACATCTGGCTTGCCGATAAGTAAGTTTTATGGCCAGGACATCTGGCTTACTGATAAGTAAGTTTCATGGCCGAGACATCTCCAACTCACTGATAAATAAGTTTTATGGTTGAGACATCTGGCTTAGTGATAAGTAAGCTCCCCGCTCTCCCTGTAGCATTTTGTAATAGTTTAAACTAACCAATAACTGCGTTTCTGTTTCTGTATCCCGCTTCTGCTCTATAAAAGTGCCAAACCCCAGCCTGTAGGCGCGCAAGTCCCCCGAGGAGACTTTGTGCCCACAGGTACCTGTGTACTAAATAAACCTCTTGCTGTTGCAACCCGAAGGCTGACTTGTCCTCTGTGGTTTCACTCTTACAATAGGACCCCAGAACCTTCCAGACTCCAACCTCTTCCCTTCTGGCTTTGTGGTGACTCACCCTCCTTCACTCTTTAAGTTTATGCCTTGGGCTGCCAGGAAAGGGAACTTCTGAATTAATATGGCTGATCCCAGGTGGGGAGCATTCCTCCCCAGATTCCAGGCAGCTGCCTCCCTCAACTGATGGTCTTTTCCAACCCTGCTTTCTTCGGGAATCTTAGGAATACTGCATACTTCTAACTCTTCACAGTGAGCCAGACATCTCCCCTCAACATTTATACACAAACTCCCACATGAACTTATTGAAAAAAAAAAAATCATTCAGCCCTGTAACTGCTTTGGACTCTGACCTGGGTTCACCTTCCCTCCTGATTCAGCAGTTCAAACAAGTGAAAGACTGGGAATCACATTCTGCTGGCCCAGGGCCTGACCTTTGTTAGACATCACTGCAGGGCACTGTTTGCTCTGGGAACTTGGAGCAGCATAAGGTCACAGACCTTCTGCAAAAGGAATGGGCCTATGCTTACTCAACTAGCTTCAAATTTTTCCATTTTAGCAGTTCTAGCTGGGGTTTTTTTTTTTTTGTAATTGTTGTTATTTACTAAAGTTAAGTCCGATAAAATTAAATCAGATACTTCTTGCGCAACTAACCTTTGCTCAAATGACTTCCTTCTTTCAGTCTCAGTGTAGTTCTTCAAACAATATTTAAAGTAACTTTAGCTCATAGTGGTAAGGTCTGTAATCCAAGTACTTTGGAGGCAGAGGCAGGCAGATCTCTGTGAGTTCAAGGCCAGCCTGGTCTACATAGTGAGTTCCAGGGCAGCTGGGATTACAGGGAGACCCTGTCTCAAAAAGACCAAAAAGAAAAAAAAAAAAAAAGAAATAAAGATGCTGGGTGTAGAGGGCACATGCCTTCCATTCCAGCACTCAGGCAGGTGGGTCTCTGAGTTCCAGGTCAGCTAGGGATACATAGTGAGACCTCCAACTCCAAAAAAAAAAAAGAAAAAAATTTTTAAAAATTTTCAAGAAGCATTCCCTCTACCTCCCCTGGGATTACAGGCCTGTACCACTGCATCCTGTTGAAATTTGTGTAAATTTGTGTCAAGCATTCTATAAAGAAAGCTACATTTCCCAGCCTAATACATATATTTTTATTTTTTTTGTTGTTGTTGTTGTTGTTGTTGTTTTGAGACAGGGTCTCTTACTATATCACACTGGCTGACATGGAACTCAGTATTGTAGACCAAGGCTAGCTTTGAACTCAACAGAGATCCACCTGCCTCTGTCCCAGCTACTAAAAGGGCTGAAGTAGGAAAGTAACAAATTCAAAGCCTGCTTCAACTACACAGCAAGATCAAACCTAGCCTGAGCAATTTAGCATTAAATTAAATTTAATTTAATTTAAAAAGTAAGCTGGGGGCTAGAGAGATGGTTCAGCAGTTAAGAGCACTGGCTGCTTCAGGGAAGGGACCTGGTTTTGGTTCCCAGCAGCCAGCCACTTGGCAACTTAACACCCTCTTAAAGTCCAGTTCTAGAGGATCTGGCACCCTCTTCTGGCTTCTGCAGAAAGTGCATGCAAGTAGTGTACTTGGATACATGCAGGCAAAACACGCATACACATGAAAATAAGAATTATTCAGGGCTGGAGAGATGGCTGAACAGTTAAGAATATTGGCTGCTCTTGCAGAGGACCTGGGTTTGGTTCTCAGCACCCACATGGCAGCTAACAACTGTTTCTAACTCCAGTTCTGGGAATCTGACACCCTCCTCTGACCTCTGCAGGCATTGCATGACATGGGTGCATTTACATACATGCAGGCAATACACTCATACACATAAAAATAATATATATATATTTTTGATTAAATAAATCAAGCTGGGCATGGTGGCTCATGCCTTTAATCCCAGCACTCAGGAGGCAGAGAGGAGGCAGAGGCAGGCAGATCTCCGAGATCCAGGCCGGCCTGGTTTACATAGCAGTCTCCCCAAATCTCTGTTATCAGTGCAAGGCAGATAGATGTCACAGAAAGCCTAAATTAATTCCAATGAATTAAAACCCAACACAGAATAGTTAATGCTCTGAAATGACCTACTGTCCTCTCACTGGGCAGTTCTGCTTCCACAACACTAAATAGTGGATCATCTGTTTCCTCTGTCCAAGCCACAGTAAGAGGTTCCTAATGGATCTCAGTCTAGGATGTACCACTGTGTTATGAACTGCCCTCAGGCATTTCACCTTTGCTCCAAAGCCTCCAAAGGCTGCCTGCCATTTAAGGCAAACCATGTGGTCCCTCTAGCTTCCTTTCTGGCTTCAGATCCTTTAAAGTTCTTTCAGTCATATGTGCTCAGCTCTTTCAGTCTAATTCCCACTCTTTGGTCCTTTACTGCATATTTCAGAAAGTTTCTCATTCCCTCCTGTAACATGTACCCTCCTCTCCTAGGCTTCCAACATTTTCTTCAAGACCCTCAAATGCTACTCAAGTCAAAGTCTTCCTTTACAGTTGGCATTCCTACAGCCTTTGGTTTATACCCTGAAATGACTCCTATCACACTGCTTGACACTGGATTTGTTTATCAAAGTATGAAAGATTTTGTTCAAAACAAAGTTTTATCCGGGGGCACTGGGGAGAACACATTCTAAGAGTGTGCTGCCTGAGTTCTTCCTTTCCTCTTTGGGGACCTCTACTCAGATAAAGGATCCTTGACTGCAACACAGGAAAGAATTTTAGAACAAGCCAGAGTGAAGCAAAGGCAGTTTATTAAGTATTCAGAGAGAGTCCCAGAGGAAAAAGGGTAATAGAATCCCAAGACACTGCTGTGGTTCTCAAAAGAGAGTGGCACTTGAAGTATTTTTGCAGTGGTTATATACAGGATCCTGTGGTTTTCTAAATCACATTCTTCAAAGGATGCAATTTATAAGGTTTAATGATTAAGCAAAGTTTAAAAGTTTAAAAATTAAGTAAAGCTGGGTGTGGTGATCTATGCCTTATTTTATTTTTTAATCTTTTTGAGAGTTTCCCTGTAGTCCCAGCTGGCCCAGAACTCCCTACATAGACCAGGCTGGCCTTGAATTCTCAGAGATCTGCCTGCCTCTGACTCCCGAATGCTGAGACAAAGGCATGCACCACCACACCTGGCAGTATGTCTTTAAACCCAGCACTGTGGGGACAGAGGCAGGTGGATCTCTGTTGAGTTCAAAGCTAGCCTTGGTCTACAATACTGAGTTCCATGTCAGCCAGTGTGATATAGTAAGAGACCCTGTCTCAAAACAACAACAACAACAACAACAACAAAAAAAATAAAAATATATGTATTAGGCTGGGAAATGTAGCTTTCTTTATAGAATGCTTGACACAAATTTACACAAATTTCAACAGGATGCAGTGGTACAGGCCTGTAATCCCAGGGGAGGTAGAGGCAGGAGGATCTGAAGTTAAAGGTCATCCTTGGCTACACAGACACAGCAAGTTTAGGGCCATCCTAGGAGGAGACCCTTTCTCAAAAAAAAAAAAAACAACAACAAAGAAAACCCTTTTGTAAATGCAATTGTTAGGTGAGTTTATGAGGTGTACTGTTTAGATTTAGGGATGACAAGGAAGAGCATTAACACAGTTCAACGCAAGCCTACAACATAAGCATAGTTTTGCTTTTGAAACGGTCTGTGTAGCCCTGGTAGCCTGAAACTCCCACAGATCTGCTTGCCTCTGCCTGTCAAGGGTTAAAATTAAAGGCAAGGGCTACCACTCCCGGTCTTTTTTGCTGTTTTTGACACAGGGTCCCAACCTTATAGTCTAGACTGGGCAGGATCTAGAACTCACTTTGTCGCCAGGCTGGCCTTGAGTATCTTCTGCCTCAGCATCCCAAATGCTGGGAGGATTCCTGACACGAGTCTCTAGGCTGGGCTACATTTAAAAAAGATCTATATTAAAAAAAGAAAGAAAGAAAGAAAGAAAAAATGCCGGGCGTGGTGGTGCACGCCTTTAATCCCAGCACTCAGGAGGCAGAGGCAGGAGGATCTCTGAGTTGAGTTCAAGGCCAGCCTGGTCTTCATAGTGAGTTCCAGGACAGCTGGGGCTACAGGGAAAGACCAAAAAAAAAAAAAAAAGATCTATATTATAATAGTCAGAAGGTGGGGAAATTGGGTCTCTTTTTGGTAGGAGGGCTAGTAGGAACCAACGGGTTTTAACACACTAAGCAAGCCTTCTACTTCTGAGCCACATCCCGCAGCCCCAAGAACTGTCTTACTTGCCTTCTAGGGCAGGATTTGCTTGATAAGCGCAACTCACCTACACCAGAGCTGCCTGGGCCCCTCTTTGATGGAGGCTTCCTTTTTCCTCTAGCAGAAGACCTGTGCTTTTACTTCTACGGGATCCAGCAGACATGGAATCTTGCTCTGGGAACAAAGTAAAATGCCTGAACCGTTCCCTCCCGCGCTGCTATCGCCCCTCTGTGGCTCGTAGTCTTCTTACTGATGGATGATTCTGGCATTCCAGTGAAGACAATTTAAATTTTTATTATTGTGTCTGTATGGCGTGTGCTTACCACAGTGCGTGTGTGGAGGTCAGAGGACAACTTTATGGAGTCGGTTCTCTCCTTCCACCTTTACAGGTGTTCGGATGATCGAACCCCGGTCATCAGGCTTGCGCGGCAAGCGCTTTACCCGCCGAGCCATCTCGCCGGCCCCTATTTTGGACAATGGCTGATGACTGGACCACGCCGACCAGTCCCGGTTCTAACATATGGGTATGGTGCACCGGGCTACAGGGCTGCTAAAGCAGGCAATCTCAAGTTTAGGTCACGAAGGGCTCGCTGAAAGCCGAGTGGCCAGCAGTGAAAACTCCAAAAGCGTAGTGATCAGTCTGACCTGCTCCTCTGGCACAGCCTTAGCATAGGATAGCCCTGTAGGCAGGACGAGGCGCGGCTGGCAGGACGAGAGGCGGCCGCGCCAGCGTCCGTGCGCAGCGCTGATCCTTGCACAAAAAGAGGGAGGTAGAAACCCGAGGGCGCTCCAAGCAGGGGCGCGCGGCTGGTACGGGTGCGCGTACGTGCGTGCGTGTCTGCGTGTGTGCGTGGGCGCGGCCGACAGCACGCAGTGCGCGGGGCGAATGTCCTGGTCCGCTGGGCCGAAACGGCAGACGAGATGGCGGAAGGCACGGGATGCGGTGTGCGACCGGATGTGGAGACCCAGAAGACCGAGCTCGGAGCCTTGATGGGGACCACGCTCCAGCGGGGGGCGCAGTGGTGAGCACCCGCCGTCCTGTCCCTGCACGGAGCCTCAGGCCGAACGCGGGCCCAGCCCAGTCCCCTGCTCCGCGGTCGAGGTCGGGTGGGGGCGGTATCTGCTGTCTCTGGAAGAGGCTGGACACCCGCCTCCGAGGACAGCGTGGACGGGACTGCACGTTGTCCTACCCCTTTCGGATTCCTCTGGGTCCTGGCCAGTGAGGGCAAGGGCTGTGGGATGTAGAAATGGGGAGTGCTGGTCGGGGGGGGGGGTACCTGGAAGGTGGGACAGCACTTGACCACCGAAGACTAGAGCTTGGGATGACCTTGGGAGGAGGTATTCGCAGCTTGCAGTCCTCTGGTCTTCCAGGATTAAAGGCAGGGTAGCAGTTTGTGGCTCATGGCCCTGAGTGGGTTGATGGGAAGCTCAGAAGTAGATAACAGAAGTTAGTAACTTGTAAACTGCCAATCAGATTTGAAGCTGAGCAAATGTCTTAAAAGCCCAGATTGTTTGGTAGCAGATGTCAAACCAGTTGTGGCCGAGGTACTTTAGAAATTATTCTGCAAAAAGAATGACCCATAAAGAATGCTCAGCTTGGTGTGGTGTTACCTCCCAATACTGGAGAGGTGAGGTGGATCCCCGCCAGGTTTCCAAGCCATCCAGAGCTACACAGCCACGTTATAAGAAAAAAATAGTTCGGGGTATGCAATTAATAACTTATACTAATAATGATTTTACTTCTAGAAAGAGTGAAATTAAATAATTGCTCATTTCTTTATTTTTTCAGAGTCTCACTATGTAGCCCTGGCTAGCCTAGAACTCCCTATGTAGATCAGGATGGACTTGAACACCCAGAGATCACTTGTGTTTGACTACCAAATGCTGGGATTAAAGATACATTCCACCATGTCCAGCTCATTTCTTCTTAAAAAATTTTTATTCATAAACTGGGCGTCGTGGCACACACCTTTAATCCCAGCACTCCAGAGGAATATATAGGCAGATCTCTGTGAATTTAAGGTCAGCCTAGTCTTAGTTCCAGGCCAGCTGGGGCTTCAAAGATACCCTGTCTCAAAAAGACCAAAAAAAAAAAATTATTATTTTTTAAATTTTGTGTGTGTGTGAGCTTACTGCCTGCACCTGTGTAAACGTACCCATGTAGTGCAATGCCTCTGGAGGTCAGAAGAGGGCATCTGATCCCCTAGAATTGGAGTTACAGATGGTTGTTAGCTGCCATGTGAGTGCTGGGAACCAAACACTGGTTCTCTGCAAGAGCAGCCAGTGCTCTTAACTGCTGAGCCATCTCTCTAGCCTGCTCATTTCTTCTTTTTTTAGGACATGATCTCATTGATTTGCTTTATAGGCCAGGCTGGCTTTAAAGTTACAATAATCCTACTTCTGCCTCCTGAATGCAGGGATTACAGAGGTGTAATACCACCCCTGACCTTTAGTTGCTTTTTTTTTTTATTGTTGTTTTGTTTTTTTGAGACAGAGTCTCAGGTAGCTTACATCAGACGTGCTATGTAGTGGAGCCTGGCTTTGAACTCCTAGTCTTCCCCCTCTACTTTTCTCAAGTGCTCAGATTTCAGGTTTGGGCCACCACACTCAGCTTCCGTTACTCATTCTTTTAGCAGTCATTTCATTTAATGGCTGCCTGGCCCAGACCAGGCCCTCTCTCTCTTCCACATGGGGCTGGCCTCTTCCTGATGTTAAGAGTATGGTTTTTGGTAGCAGTTGAACATTATGTAGGTGGAAAGACCATAAAAAAATTAAGAGGACTAGTGACGAATAGAGCACACTGAAAGGGAGAGCTACAGAAATGTAACTTTATAGTTTATATGCTGTATTAACCTGTTATCTCTCTAGGTATCTTATTGACAGCCGGTGGTTCAAGCAGTGGAAGAAGTATGTGGGCTTTGATAGCTGGGATATGTACAATGTGGGTGAACATAACCTGTTTCCTGGCCCTATAGATAACTCCGGACTCTTTTCAGGTGCAGTATGCTGTGCTTTTCTAGCTAAATGTTCACATGGGCAGTGGCCTGAGGGTGTTGTGGATCTGTACATAGACATTGTCAATAGAACTTCCCTAATGTGAAGATATAGAAATGTTCTGGATTTGCATTTATGGTAGCAGTCTTCCAGATCCTTAAGACATTAGGCTCCTTTTTCCCTAAATTAACTATTTATTTTTTGAGAAAGGGTCTCCCTATAAGTCTCTGGCTGGCTTGGAATTCACTATGTAGACCAGGCTGGCCTTGAAGTTGCAGTAATCCTTCTGTTTTTGCCTCTTGAGTGCAGGCTAGAGATTCTCTTGCCTTTGCCTCCTGAATGCTGGGGTTAAACCATGCTGAGACTGAACTAACTACTATTAGTAAGAGCGTGCTTTGTCACATTTTAATTTTTTTGTTTATATTTAAAAATCTATTAATTTTATGCATATGATATATTGCCTGCATATATGTAAGTGTACCCATGTCATGCAATGCCCAAGGAGGTCAGAAGAGGGCATTAGATCCCCTGGAACTGGAGTTACAGATGGCTGTTAGCCACCATCTAGGTGCTGGGAACTGAACCAGGTCCTCTGCAAGAGCAGCCAGTGCTCTTTTTGCTGAGCCATCTCTCCAGCCCCATAACATTTTAATTTTATTTTTATTGTGTAAGTGCAGGCCAGTCATGAAGCCAGAGGACAACTTTGGGTAGTTGGTTCTCAGTTTTTTTGGAAAGCAAAACTGATGTTATCTTAGTAGCCTGCTTTATAAAGTTTTGTCTCTCTTTTTTCAATAGTCTATTTTATTTTATTTTTTGGTCTTTTTGAGACAGGATCTCCCTGTAGCCCCAAATGTCCTGGAACTCACTATGTAGACCAGGCTGGCCTTGAACTCACAGAGATCCTCCTGCTTCTGCCTCCTGAGTGGTGGTTAAAGGTGTGCACCACCAACCACCATACCCAGCTTATTATTTTTAATTATGTATATGAGTATATTGCTGGCATGCAGTGCCTGCAGAGGTCAGAGGAGGGCATCCGATCCCATGGAACTGGAGTTTTGGATGGCTGTTAACTGCCATGTGGATGCTGGGAATCTAACCTGGGTCCTTTGCAAGAGCACCCAGTGCTCTTAACTACTAAGCCATCTCTCCAGCCCATTCTCCCCCCCCCTTCTCGGGGTGGGGGGCTTTTTGAGACAGAATCTCCCTGTAGCACCAGCTGGCCTGGAACTCACTGTGTAGACCAGGCTGGCCTTGAACTCACAGAGATCCACCTGCCTCTGTGTCCTGAGTGCTGGGATTAAAGGCATGTGCCACCTCTGACTTGTCTCACTCTATTTTATTTTATTTTATTTTATTTTTTAATTTAATTTAATTTTATTTTATTTTAAATGTGTATGTGTGTATTGCCTGTGTGTAGGTAAGTGCACCTCTGTTGTGCAGTGCCCAAGGAGGACAGAAGAGGCTGTTGAATCCCCTGGAACTGGAGTTACGGACAGTTGTTAGCTGCCATGTGGGTGCTGGGATTCGAACCCTGGTCTTCTGCAAAAACAGTGTTAATTATATGTATGTGTGTTTCTGAGTGTGAGTACGTGTGTGCGTGAGTACAGTGTCTGAGGAGGACAGAAGAGGGTGTCAGATCCCTTGGAGCCAGAGTCACAGGCAGTTGTTGAGCCACCTGATATGGTTTTGGGGAACTGAACTCAGGACCTCTGCGAGAGCATTATGGTACTCTTAACCACTGAGTCATCCAGCCTCTTGTTTTTTTGTTTTTTTTTTTCCTTTTTCTTTGAATTCTTATAGGGGTTTTAAGGTTTGGATTTGTATTTAAAAGTGAAAGAAATTCTTTCTTTCAATGCTGTGGTTCAAACCCAGGACCCTGAGAATGCTAAGCAAATATCTCACCAATAGCTATATATACAATAATTTAACTAGAGTTTCTTCATACAAATTGCACATATATTAAAGGTCATCAGTAATCCTTCAAATTGCACATATATTAAAGGTCATCAGTAATCCCTGTAATGACCGTTTTCCACAGAAATGCATCTATTGGTATAAACCACACATCAGTTTGCAGCCATTCCCAGTGGGAAGTGACGTCACTACTCTACTGACCTTCCACCTCTCCTCACACAACTTCAGTGGCAGTCATTACAGTGTTTTGTCAGCTTGTATGTATTGCACTGTGTGCATGCCTGGTGCTGCAGAGGCCAGGAGAGGGTGCTCGATCTCCTGGAACTGATGGTTGTGAGCTGCCATGCCCATGCTGAGACCTGACCTGAACCTGGGTCCTCAGCTAGAGCAGCAAATAGCTCTTAACCAAAGAGCCATCCCTCCAGCCCCTGCTTCTTTCTCTCCTTTTTTTTTTTTTTTTTTTTTTTTTTTTTTTTTTTTGGTTTTTTTGAGACAGGGTCTCCCTGTAGCCCCAGCTGTCCTGGAACTCACTATGTAGACCAGGCTGGCCTTGAACTCAGAGAGATCCGCCTGCCTCTGCCTCCCAAGTGCTGGGATTAAAGGCGTGCGCCACCACACCCAGCTCTTTCTCTCCTTTTCAAAAAAAAAGTGTCTACTTGGAGTTGCAGCTAAGTTGTACCATCCTGGATATTTTCATGGCGTTACTCATCTTTGGAGAACAGTGACTTCTGTTCTTAGAATGGATATTGATGTAAGCACAGGCTTAGCCGAGAGATGATCCTTCTTTGGATGTCTCTTTGTGATGCATGTAAAAGGAATGTTTAACATGTTAAATAATATTTACTCTCCATTCCACACAGCATTGTCCATCTGAACTTCAACTTGAAATGTTTAAAACTAAGAATGTGCCTTTAATCCCAGCACCTGGGGAGCAGAGGGAGGCTGATATCTGTGAGTTCCAGGCCTGCCTGGTCTACCTAGAGAGTTCCAGGCCACCCAGAGCTATAAGAGACCCTGCCTTAAAAAGCAAACAAACAAAATCAAACCTAAGAATGCTTTGGGGTGGGGAATAGAGCTCAGTGGTAGAGTACTTGGCCTGGCAAGCATGAGGCTCTGAGTTCAATTTCATAGCATTACAAAAACAGATAGGGCTGGAGATGTTGCTCAGAGATAAAGTGCTTGCTTAGAATATTCAAGGCCCTGGGTTAGAACCCTAGAACTGCAAACAAAAATAAAAATCAAGCTAAGAATGTTGCTAGGTGTGGTATATCCACCTTTGATCCTGATACTTTGGGAGGCTGAAGCAGGAAGATTGCTACAAGTTGAAGGACAGCCTAGGTTGCATAGTATAAATTCCAGGCCAGCCTGGGCTGCATACTGAGACCTTGTTTCAAAAAAGAGGGCTTAAGGGTTAAGAGTAATGGTGCTCTTGCAAAGAACCCAGGTTTGTTTCCCAGCATCTACATGGTGGCTAATAACCCTTTGTAACTCCAGTTCCAAGGAATCTAGCACCTTCTGATCTCCCTGGGCATTGCATAACACGGGTGTACTTACATACATTCAGGTGAAACACTCATACACATAAAAATAAATAGGACTTTTACTCATACACATAAACTAAAGATAAATAGGACGTTGCTTTTACTATTCTATGAATATACCAAATCTCTCCAACTCTTGCTCCAGATGCTCCTGATACTCTCTATACTTATGCTGCCCTCACTGGTGGCACCAAGCCTTTCTCAAGCCATCTCTGAGGTTCAGGGCTTCTGTTTCTCAGATCAGAAATGGCATAGGTCAGCCGGGTATGGTTGTGCACCCCTTTAGTCCCAGCACTTAGGAGGCAAAGACCAGCAGATCTTTGTGAGTTCGAGGCCTGGTCTGAATAGTTCCAGGACAGCTGGGACTACAGGGAGATCCTGTCTCAAAAAGACAAAAAAAAAAAAAAAAATTTCTTTTTAAATAAAAATAAGGAGCTGACTGTACACATAAAATATAATTAAATAAATGAGATGGCTCAGAAGTTAAGAGCAGTGGCTCTTCTTGCAGAAGACCTGAGTTCAGGGGCTAGAGAGGTGGCTCAGTGTTAAGAGCACTGGTAGCTGTTACAGAGGACCTGGGTTCTCAGTTTCTGTTGACTTTCTGAAAAATACTTAAGAATCATGTAAAACAAACTTTCTGGAAAAGAGCAGTGAGGTATGTGTTGATTTCCTTTTTCAGATCCCAAGAGTCAGACTTTGAAAGAGCACTTAATTGATGAACTAGACTATGTGTTGGTCCCAACCGAGGCCTGGAATAAATTACTGAATTGGTATGGCTGTGTGGAAGGCCAACAGCCCATTATCAGAAAAGTGAGTACAAACCTTGCTGTACCTGCTGGGCACTGTCTGCCGTGCTCCTGGGTGTGCTGACTTAATGCTGGGTTCCTAGGAAAATGACCACATAGTTCAGTGGTTGTTTATTTCTTTTTTGGTCCCCTGAGACAGGATTTCTCTATGTAGCCCAGGCTGGCCTTGTGCTTTAGGTTACCCTATGCCTCAGCCTCTTGAGTTTACAGGCTCAAGGGACTAACTCTGGTTTGTTTTTAGTTCTCTTGAGGGAATTACATGGTGGTGAGTGAAGCTGTTCACTTAGCATGTTGTGGTGAGAGGCTTCTTAATATCAGGCTTGGAATGCGTCCATTGGTGATACGATAGCATTTTCTGCAACACTGAGCAAAAGTTCACTTGGGCCATATGGACATTTGGTAATTTGTTGCTGTTTTTTTTTCCCCCTCTGTCCCAATACTGGGGCTTGAACCTAAGGCCTTTCACATGCTAAGTAAGTTCTCTATTACTGAGCTGTATCTCTAGCCCTCTTTTCGCTTTGTACTTTGTGACAGGGTCTCACTAAGTTACCCAGGCTAAACTTGAGCTCACTTTGCAGCTCACATAGGCCTCAAACTGTGACAGTCCTTCAGTTTCATCTCCTGAGTGTTGGGATTACAAATGTGAACCACCATGCTCACCTAAAAAATTTTCTTACCTTTTTCTTTTCTTTTTTTTCAGACAGTCTCCCTGTAGTCCCTCAGCTGTCCTAGGACTCTCAGAGGTCTGCCTGCTTCTGTTTCTGTAGTGCTAGGATTCAAGATGTGTACTACCATGCCTAGCTCTAAGAACTTTTCTAATACATTTTCCCCCTATGCTCAAGCACCTTTGGCTGTCCTGCTGAGTGATTAATCATGCCATTGCAGCTGGGTGTAATCCCAGTACTGGGGGTGTGGGAGGAGGCAGGTTCTGTTGAGTTCAAGGCCAGCCTGGTCTACATAGTTCTGGGCCAGCTAGGGCCTAATAGTGAAACCCTGTATCACACACACACAAAAAAAAGGCTTTTATGCTCAGGAGAAGGTTAACCTCTCAAGAGAAGGCACACCCTGAAACAGAGACCCCGATTGTTAACACTTTTGGTAGATGGAGCTCAGGAGACCACCACCCTGTCTTTCACAGTTGTTTGCTTGTCCTACTAGAAGGGAATCCCCAAAGTCTCTGTCATACCTGCTAATATTTAGACACTAGGTAAGTTTCTCACTTTGCTTGGGTATGGTATGCTTCCTCAATAAGAGAGATCTGCATTCCTGAGCCTGTGTGTCTCAGTCATTATTCAGGAGCAGAACTAGCTCTTTTTCCTTCCTTCCTTCCTTCCTTCCTTCCTTCCTTCCTTCCTTCCTTCCTTCCTTTCTTTCTTTCTTTCTTTCTTTCTTTCTTTCTTTCTTTCTTCCTCTCTTTCTTTCTTTTTTGGTCTTTTTGAAACAGGGTCTCCCTGTAGCCCCAACTGCCCTGGAACTCACTATGTAGACCAGGCTGGCCTTGAACTCAAGAGATTTTCCCCAACTCTGCCTCCCAAATGCTGGGACTACAGGTAGGTACCACCATGCTTGTGCCGTCATACATGACTTCAAAACTATCTTTTCTGCCAGCTTGAAACTGCAAATGCCATCAGTGTAGTTAGATGAGCATTCCACTAAAGTTTACCTATATTTTGTAGTCCTTTAATTTGGAAAACCCTGTAAGAGAAGCATTATGATCTCACTTAAAGATGAACAATGACTTTCCTTATGTATCTCACTTTTGGGGGGCAAATGTGGCTCTGAATTGATGAGTTAATCAGCTTTTTGGGAGAGGTTTAGGGTGCTGGGATGATACTTAGGACCTCAGAGAGGCTGGGCAGGTGCTCTACCATTGAACTGTAGCTCAGCTTAATTATTCTGTATAGTCAAAGCATGTGTTTTAAGGAGTAAGAGTTGTTGATTAGAGTTTACTTTTGCTAAGTGTGAAATGAGTTTTTTTTCAAACCTGACCTGAGGCCTGCATGTAGGGTCTGGTGTTATATTCAGCCATAAATCTCTCTCCGGTTCCATCAATGTACACTTGGTTCTTCAGACTGGAAAAAGTATTTTTGACTCCTGGGACATATGCTGATGAATTTTAAAAGCCATGCTTTAAAAAGAAAGAGAATTTAAATTTGTACTTACTACCTAATCCCTGAAGAAAACTGCTCCAAAAATTTCAGTCTCCTGCTGCTGCTGAGCCTTACTGCTTCCAAAGCTTTCCCAGATGTCCAGCCACTGCTCTTCAGCCTTTCCCTTTTGTTATAGGTTGTGGAGCATGGCCTGTTTGTCAAGCACTGCAAAGTGGAGGTGTATTTACTGGAACTGAAGCTCTGTGAAAATAGTGATCCTACCAATGTCCTGAGTTGTCACTTCAGCAAGGCAGACACCATTGGTGAGCAGCTGGCCTAGGGGTCTGGGTATCTGGTGAGAGTACTACTGGGTGTTGTTGATGGAAGGGAAATCTGGGGTGTTCCCCCCTCCTCCTCTTTCCCTTCCCCTCTCCCTTTCTTCTTTCTGACTCATAGTGACTTCTTTCTCACTGTGTTACCCTGGCTGGCCTGGAACTCATTATGTTGACTGAGGATCCCAGAGAGCCACTTGCTTCTGCCTCTTGAGTGCTGGGATTAAGGGCATATGCTACCATATCTGACAATGGGATGCTTTAATTTAATTAATTAATGATCATAATAACAATTTTTATTATTGGTCTTTTTGCGACATGGTTTCTCTTAAGCCCCAACTGGCCTGGAACTCACAGAGATCCTCCTTCCTCTGCCTGGGAGTGCTGAAATTAAAGGCATGTGCTACCATACCAGACTAACTAATTTTTTAGAGACCGTCTCCATGTAGCCCCTAACTGGCTTGGAACTCACTATGTAGACAAGGCTAACCTTGATTTCACAGAGACCAGTTTGCCTCTGCCTCCTGAGTGTTGGGATTAAAGGGATGCTTTCTTAAGACTTCTTACCTTAGTCTTCAACTTTAGTTGCCACTCCTGAGTGAAGAGCCTCTTCCTGAGGAGAGTTTCTTGGTGAGCCAAACCTGAGAACTATGTTCTATGGAGCAGGACTTGGGTTGGCAAGATGACTTAGCAGGTAGAAGCACTTACCATACCATATCTGGTACCCATGGTAGAGAGAACTGACTCCCAGAAACCATCCTCTGACCTCCACGAGTAGGGACATGCCCATGTTCATTCTCATATATACAAAATTTAAAACCGGGTTTTTTTCAGTTTTCTACTCATAGTCTCTTTTCTCCTGATAATGTTTTGTACAATTTTGGGTATCTAAGTATATAAAATAGGCATACAGATCAAACATTTATTGGTAATAAGTCATAAGCAATTTATTAAAAATTTTATGTCAGCAAGGTGATGTACACATTTAATCCCAGCAATCAGGAGGCAGAGGCAGGTGGATCTCTGTGAGGTCCAGGGCAGCCTGGTCTACATAGTGAGTTCCAGGCTAGCCAGAGCTACATAGTGAGACCCTGTCTCAAAAGAAAACAAAAATCTCTTGTATACATACAATTTTACCATTTATTAAAGTAGGGCTGATAGTATAGCTCATTTGGTAGAGTGCCTGTCTAGCACAAAGCCCTGGGTTGACTCCTCAGCACCATGTAAACCCCATGTGGTGGCTTTTCTCATGATCCCTGTACTCAGGAGGTAGAGGTAGGAATATCAGGAACTCAGAGTCATTCTTAGCTATATGGTAAGTTCGCCTTCAACCTGACCTACATAAGACTCTCAAAAAAATAAAAAGAGGCTTGTATGCCAGGCATGGTGGCACATGCCTTTAATCCAGTACCCAGGAGTCAGAGGCAGGTAGATTGGATTTCTTTGAGCTTGAGGCCAGCCTGGTCTACTAGGGAGTTCCAGATCAGCTGGCACTATAGGAAGATTATGTCATCAACAGCAACAAAACAAGCTTGCATACTAGGGAGATGGATAGGCATGTTTATTTTTACGTAAATAATTATATCTGCTGAATATGTGACACTGCAGGATGCAGAGCATCTCTAGCATTTTTCAGAGTTGATACTTTATTTTTAAATATTTTATTTTTTTGAGATAGGGTCTCACAGAACCCAGACTGGCTTTGCTGGCTTTGAACTCTCCTGATCCTCCTCCCTCTACTTCACATGTGCTAAGGTTACAGGTATGCACCACTATACCCAGCTCTGTGTGTTAGCTAATTTTGGGTTGTTGCTTGTTCAGAAATGTTTTACTATTGCCACATTTTTTGCAGCTCCCACATTCAGTAACATGATCTTATAGGGAGTTTTAGGAAGCTGTGCTGGGGGCTGGAGAGATGGCTTAGTGGTTAAGAACACTGACTGTTCTTGCAGAAGATGTGGGTTCAAATCCCAGCACCCATATGGCATCTAACAACTGTCTGTGACTCCAGTTCCAGGCCATCCAATGGCCTCTTCTATCCTTCGCAGGCATTGCCTGACATGGGTGCACTTACATGTAGGCAATACACGCATACATGTAAATTAAAAAAAATATTTTTTATTATTTTTTTAATTTTATGTGTACGAGTGTATTGCCTGTGTGTATGTGAATGCACCAGTGTTGTGCAGTGCCGTGGAGGTCAGAAGAGGGCCTCGGATTCCCCTGGAACTGGAGTTAAGGATAGTTTGTAGCTGCCATGTGGGTGCTGGGAATCAGCCCGGGTCCTCTGCAAGAGCAGTCTGTGCTCTTAACTGCTGAGCCATCTCTCCAGCCCCACATAAGCTCTTTTTTTAGATACATTTTTAAAAGTATTTTATTATTTTTATTTTATGTGGATGAGTGTTATACTTGCATGTAGATAAGTGTACCCATGTCATGCAGTGCCCTAGGAGGATAGAAGAGGGTGTCGGATCCCCTAGAACTGGAGTTATAGACAGTTGTTAGTGGCCAGGTGGGTGCTGGGATTCGAACCTGGGTCTTCTGTAAGAACAGTCAGTGTTCTTAACTGCTGAGCCATCTCTCCAGCCCCCACATAAAATTTTTATAAAAAAGCTCTGCTAGCCAGGTGTGGTGGTACATGCCTTTACTCCCAGCACTTGGGAGGCAGAGGCAGGTGGATCTCTGAGTTCAAGGCCAGCCTGGTCTACATAGTGAGTTCCAGGCCAGCTGGGGCAACTGGGAGACCCTGTTTCGAAAAAGACACCCCCCACCCAAAAAAAAGGAGGGTTGGAGAGATAGTTCAGTAAGTACAGTTTCTTCTGTGTAAGCCTGCGGTCCTGAGTTCAGGTCCCCGGCACCTACCCACATAAGAAAGCCATGTGTGATAATGTGCACCTTTAACCCCACCTTGAGGGAGTGGGTAAATCCCTGAATCTCGTTGATCAACCGGAGTAGTTAAATCAGTGAGCTTTGGTCAGAGGCTGTGTCTCAAAAAATAAAAAGTGGAAAGCAGTGGAAAGACACCCAGTGTCAACTTTTGGTTGCCATGTGCACATACACATGCACCCCCCCCATAGGTGCATACACTTACACTAATAAACACATATACCACACATAAGAGAACACAACAACAAAAACCCACTACCACATTCTCAGTAAAAAGATGGTAGAGCTAGCTCTGTGTGTGTGTGTGTGTGTGTGTGTGTGTGTGTGTGTGTGTGTGTGTGTGTGTGTAGCTGGGGATTAATCCAGGATCTTGAACTAATGCTAGATAGGTGTTTTACCACTGAACTACATCCATAGTCCACACTCCCACCGCCTTTTTAAAAAATTTTTTTATTTAATGTGAGTGTTTTGCATGAATGTATGTAAGTGTACCTGTGTTGTGCAATGCCCATGGAAGCCAGAGAGGGAGTTGGATTCCCTGGAAATGGAGTTAGGGATGGTTGTTAAGTACCATGTGGATGCTGGGAACTGAACCTGTGTCCTCTGTGAGAACAGCCAGTGCTCTTAACCTCTGAGCCATCTCTCTAGCCCCTCCACCCCTTTTTTGAGATGGAATCTCACTATGAAGACCAGGCTAGCTTTGAGTTCATAATCCTTCTTTCTTAGCCTCTCCATTGCTGGGATTATAGGCTGTGCCACCACACCTATTTTAGGGCTGCTGGGCATCATGGTGCACACCTTTAATCCTAGCACTCAGGAGGCAGAGGCAGGGGATCTCTAGCTTGTTCTACCTCTCCAGTTCCAGACCAGCCAGGGCTACATAGTGAGACCCTGTCTCAAAAAAACAACAACAAAAAAGAAGACTTCAGAGGTGGCTCATCAGTTAAGAGCACTGGCTGTTCTCTTGGGTTTGGTCCCCAGCATCTATGTGGTGGCTAACAACCTTCACTAACTCCAGTTCCAGGAATTATTGCCCTCTTGGCTGGCCTCCTCAGGCATTGCATACATGTGGTGCACTTACTTACATGCAGGCAAGACATACACATAATAGATAATAAATAAATTACCTTGAGCTAGGCATGGTGGCGCACCCTTTAATCCCAGCACTGAGGCGGGCAGATCTCTGTGAGTTCGAGGCCAGCCTATATAGTGAGTTCTAGGCCAGCTGGGGCTACAGGGAGACCCCATTTCAAAAAAAGCCGAGTGTGGTGGCACACACCTTTAATCCCAGCACTTGGGAGGCAGAGGCAGGTGGATCTCTGTGAGTTCAAGGTCAGCCAGGTCTACATAGTGAGTTCCAGGACAGCTGCAGCTACAGGGAGACCCTGTCTCAAAAAGACAAAAAAAAAAAAAAAAAAATTTTTTCTTAAATCCACTGAACCTCCATCTGTTTTGAGAGCTAGAACAATGGCTCAGCAGTTAAGAACAATTGCTGCTCTTGCAGAGGACTAGAGTTTGGGTCCTAGCACTCACATCAAGTGCCTCACAATTACCTGTAACTCTAGCTCTAGGGGATTTGACACCCACTTCTGGCATCTGGAGGCATCCCCCAGACACATGTGTACAGATACATGTTCAAAACAAAACCCCAAAACCTACATTTGTCTTAACTCCCAAAGAGAAGCTGTTTCACATATCCTCTCTATGTACCATGCTGGAATTGGAACCCATGTCTTTGGGCATGCAAGGCAAATACCCTATCACTGAGCTATACCCTAGTCCAGTTTGCTCATTTTCTGTGTTTTTCCTTCTTCCTTTTCTTTCCCTCCTCCTGTTTTTTCCTTTTTCCCTTCTTTTTTTTTTTTAAACAGGTTTTCGTACTGAAGCTGAGGTTGACCTGAAACTTAGTACTAGTCTTGTTGCTGTTGTCCTGCTTTAGCCTCCTGAGTGCTGGATTTACAGGCATGAGCCACCACACCTGTGTTTTGTTATTTTAGTGGTATAAATGGGACCTGCAGTATCAGAGATGTGTGAGAGGTGGAACATGAGAAATGATTGGCCTTGGGGGTACCTACCAGCTGAGGTCTGTGAGAACATTTGTTACAGACCTCCTGTGAACATAGAAAAGGAAGGAGGGTGAACACTGATTTGCCTTGACTGTCTTTAACCTTATATCTGAGGTGATATTTATACCTGAGTGATGTTTCTGCCTATTCTTAGCAACCATCGAGAAGGAGATGAGGAAACTATTCAACATCCCTGCAGAGCGTGAAACACGGCTTTGGAACAAATACATGAGCAACACCTACGAGCAGTTGAGCAAGCTAGACAATACTATCCAGGATGCTGGGCTGTACCAGGGTCAGGTAGGAGGGGCCAGGCCATGCCCAGACAATCAGCTCTGCCCTGGGTGTATGTGTGGCAAGAAACTTGATTATAAGCATTTCAGAAATGGGATGGGGTGCACTGTGTTTATTTGGTTTCCTTTTTCACTCAGGTGCTAGTAATTGAGCCCCAAAATGAAGATGGCACGTGGCCGAGGCAGATTCAACAGTCGAAGTAAGTAAACCTTTTCTCCCCTGAGTCTGGGCTCAAAGTTAGATGAGAGACACTTTTCTCTCAGGCAGTTGCTTGATTAAATTGTTCCGAATTAGATGGAAACATCAGTTTCTCATCCAGAATGCATAGTCCTCGATGAAGCACCAACCTTTGGTAAGCAGCCTGTGGGGCCATTACCTATATAAGAGATACCTGTCAGGGTCTCAGCAAGGACATGAGAGAAGAGGAGGAGTGAGGCTGTTACTGAGTTGCTCTGTCAAAAAGTAGCTTTATTGTTAGACAATCCTTTACTTATCTACTCATGGTTAAGAGGCTATGAGAAAGATGAAGGGCTGGGGCTGGAGAGATGGCTCAGCGGTTAAGAACATTGGCTGTTCTTGCAGAATACCCGAGTTTGAATCCCAGTGTCCACATGGGAGCTAACAACTGTCCGTAACTCCAGTTCCAGGGGATCCGACAACCTCTTTTGTCATCGTTGGGCATTGCACGATATAGGTGCACTTACCTACATGTATGCAATACGTGCATACACATAAATAAAAATAATAAAAAAAGAAAGATGGAGGGCTTAGGCATGGGTATTGTATGACTTAACAGTGATAGTTTGATCCCACTTGCCTCTGTGCTATGGCCTGTTATGCATTGTTGCTCAGATACTAATTAAATTGGACTCAAGGCACAGTTACCTCAGGAGATACTCTTGTGATGTTTGGAATTGTGCCCACCTTTAGAAGGTTGCAGAAATGATGGCTTTTCCCTGTGTATTGTTGGGGGATAACTTTCCTGAGAAGATGACAAAAATAGAGCCAGGTGTGGTGGCATATTTATATGGTTATAATCATAGTCTGTGAGAACATTTTTGGGAGGTTGATGCAGGAGAATGATAAGGTCAGGGCCATCCTCAGCTAGAGTGAGTTCTAGGCCAGCCTCTTCTACATGAGACCTTACCCCCTCAAGAAAACAAAAAAAACAAAACAACAGTGGCTGGGGTAAGCCTCTGCAGGTGAAGTGCTTATTATGTAAATGTGAGGACCAGGGTTTGGATTCCCAGAACCCATCTGAGTTGAGTCGGCATGGCAGCCTACATGTAATTCTAGTTCTTGGGTAGTGGAAACGGAGACAAGGACTCTTTGGAGCAAGCTGGCCGGTTAGACTAGCCAGAATGCTGAGCTTCTGGTTCAGTGAGAGACCCTGACTCAGTATAGAAGGTGGAAAGCAATCAAGAAAAACACCTGACATCAGCCTCAGCCTCAGCCTCTGCATGTGCACATGCAAATATGCATGCACATATGCCACATATATGTATGCAAAGAAATTGAAAAAAATAGAAAAATGTCCCCTTTCCCCACAAAAATGCCTGCCTCCTTATCCCAGGAACCTATGAATGTGTTAGGTTACAAAGTATCTTTGCAGGTGTGATTAAATCAATTATGTCAAGATGGGGAGACTCTTCAGGCAGGCCCAGTGTAGTCACAAGGCTCCCTGTGAGGGCAAAGGAGGCTGGAGAATCAGAGGTGTGAGGACAAAAGTAGAGTCAAGGCAAGTGTGAGGAGAGCTCCACTGATTGTGAGCCAAGGAATATAGACAACCTTTAGGAGACCCTAAAGCCTCCACAAAGGAAATGGAACCTGGCCACCTTGATTTCAACTCAGAACTAACTTCTTTGGATTTGTAGCTTGCAGAATTATATCATAACAAGTTGTGTTATTTTGAAGCCCTTGAGTATGTGGAAGTGTTAAGACAGCAGCAGTAGGGAAACAAGCTCCCTTAGACGTGTGAACCCTGTAGGGAGACAGGTGATTGAACTGCCACCCTGTGAAGTACAGTTGGTATCTCAGAACAGAAGGCTGTGTCCTGGCCTGGCCCCCTGTTTCAATTGTACCTTTTTGTCTTCCTAGGGCCTTGCTTCTTCTTATCCCTCCCACACCCTGAAGCCTAAGGATTTCCATTAGGGAGACAGTTTTTGGAAAAGAGCATTGCCCTCTTGAGATTCTATGAAGGTTAGAGTCTTCTGTTAGTGTCCTAGTTTGTTTCTTCATTGCTGTGACAAAATACTCTGACCAATACCAACTTGGGGAGGAAAGGGTTTATTTAGCTTACATCTCCTGGGTCACAATTCATCAGGGAGCCCAAGGTAGGAACTCAGGGCAGGAACCTGGAGACAGGAGCTAGAGCACAGGCCATGGAGGAATGCTGCTTGCTGGCTTGCTCCCTGGCCCCTGCTCAGCCTGCTTTCTTATGCAACATAGGCCCACCTGCCCAGGGGTGGCACCACCCACAGTGGGCTGGGCTCTGCCATATCACTCATCAAGAAGATGCCCTATAGATAATGGCCACAGGGCAGTCCAGTAGAGGCAATTCCACAATTGAGGCTCCCTCAACTCAGGTGTGTCAAATTGACACTAAAGCTGTCCAGCACGGTTAGTATGTGGTAAACGGAAAGCGAGCTTAGAGTGGAATTCCCGAGACACATTCCTCTTCCCACTCCTCTACTTAGTGCCAGATACTGTTGTATTTGTTGAGGGTGCAGCCATAAATAAAGTAGACAAAATTTCTCAGGCCAGGAAATAAGATAAAAAAGAAAGCACTTGTGTTTGCTGATTTATAAGCAATATGAACAAAAATCAGGGAAAGAGTGAGTCCTAAGCTTTGGGATGAGGCAGATTTAACCCATTGAGCCATCTCACTGTCTATTGATTGTGTGTGTGTATTCATGAATGTAAGTGCAAGCAGACATGTGCCAGTCCATGCCGCTGGAGGTCAGGACAACCCCAGATATTGGTCCTTGCTTTCCACCTAGATAGAGACAAGGTCTCTTTTATGGTTCAGTGCTGCACACTGTAAGCTAGCTGGCCTGAGCCTGGTGCGCCAGCTTCCAGCAAGTCTCTTGTTTGTACCTCACATCTCCTGCTAGTAAGAAAGTAGGATTTTTACAGTTTCAGTAACTGAGAATGGAGAATGCTTTTTCCGTCCTTCCTTCCCTTCTTCCTTTACCTTCTGTGTTGACCAGTCTGGCCTCAAATTCTCAACCTTGCTACAACTTTCTGGGTTCTAAGATTCCAGGTATGAGCCACAAAACTCATCTAACTAAGAATGTTTGTTTATTGAGACATAAGGCATTAAGTGGGGCCTGTACTTTACAGAAAGTCAGTAGCATTGTTTCTGGTTCTCTCTCCCAGATCAAGCACTGTGCCTAGCAGAAATTTTACTACCTCTCCAAAACCATCAGCAAGTCCCTATTCCTCAGTATCTGCCTCTCTCATTGCAAATGGTGATAGCACTAACACCTCTGGGATGCACAGTTCCGGTGTTAGCAGGGGGTAAGAGCAGGCCTTTTCACCTTGCTTTCCTTCCCTTGGACTCCTTTCTCACTTGTACCTGGAATGCTCTTCTGCTGCTGGCTCCACATTGTCAGATGAGAGCTCCCCTGTAAGATCCTGCTGTGTGCAGTTGCTCCATTTCCTACCCACAGTGAAGCATGCCCCCTAATCCCAACCTCATTGCTTGTCCTTTTACCAGCTGGTGTTTTCTCCAGTCTAAGTCAGTCACAGTCTTGGTTAAGGGGGAGGGGAGGGTGTCACAGCATTAGTTTGTGAGGGATGGGCTGATCATACAGTGTCTAAGGGGACATTTCTCAGGTCTGGGGGAGCCCTGTCTGTTTCCCCTCTAGGTAGCTGTTCCTTTCTCCAAGCATTTTAGGAGCATGTGCCACAAAGCATAGGCAAGGTGGAAGATTGTGAGAAGAGAAGGTATGCATGAACACTCAGGCCCAGTCAAGACTGGGTGTGGCTTGGTGGGTGGTGGCAGTATGCATAAGCTCTTGATCCCGGTACCTAGAATATTCTCTCCTAAAGTCATCTGACAGCCTTCTAGAACGATATAAAATTAGCATTTGCCAAAGCCTAAAAAAATTCAAATAGCATTTCTTCCCTTTTAAGGCTGTGCTTATTATTCTCTGGTACCATGTCAAGTAAAGACAGGAAGGTCTGGAGGACCAGAGAAGGCATAGTATTTTACATTATGAGAGTGCTACCAGACAAAAGATCTAGAGGCCCACGAAGAACTCTCAAAGACATCCTGAGGGCATGTGTGTGGCACTTGTTTTTACTTCTGATGTGGGTTATGTTTTTCAGTGGATCTGGCTTTTCTGCTTCGTATAATAGGTGTCAGGAGCCCCCATTGCCTCATATACAGCCTGGCCTCTGTGGACTTGGAAACCTGGGGAATACCTGTTTCATGAACTCTGCTTTGCAGGTACAGGGGAGAGTTGCTACCTAAATAACTGGGTGAGAGTTGTTTACAAGGTGCTGAGTAGATCTTCTCCCAGGGTCCCTGCACTCACCTTTGAGTGCTTTAGAAGTCTACAGGATTGCCTCTCTCTGGTTAATTAAGAACAGCTCCATCAGTTTTTGTGGCCCCAACATGTCTTTTTTGTTTGGTTAGTTGATTTTGGTTTTTGAGACAGGCTAGGGATGTAACCCAGTGGTAGAGTACTTGCCTAGCATTCTTCAGACCCTGGGTTCAATCTGTCGCATCACCACCACCACACACAAAAACCAGGCTTGACATGGTAGTTGATGACTGTCATCCCAGGACTCAGGAGGCAAGAGAATTTCAAGTTCAATGTCTAGGCTACATAGAGAGACCTTGTCTCAAAATGATATGCTTATTATTCATCAGGTATATACTGGGTACATACTATGTGATAACATTGTGGTAGACATGGGCTTTAAGGAGCTAAGAATACAGCTGCAAAACGGTCATAGTATTCAAGATGCTGTCAGTTGTGAAGCCAACCACAAGTTCAGGCTTTGCTGAGAGTATTCTGAATTTTGATAATTTGTTAGAATGACTTAGAGAATTCACTTAAGCTGTCATATTCATGATAATGATTGGTTAGGAGGACAGGCTAGGGGCTGCAGAGATGGCTCAGCGGTTAAGAACACTGGCTGTTCTTGCAGAGGACCCAGGTTCAAATCCCAGCACCTACATGGCAGCTAACAACTATCTGTAACTCCAGTTCTAGGGGATCTGACAGCCTCTTCTGTCCTCCGGCATTGCACGACACAGGTGCACTTACCTACATGCAAGCAATACACACATACGCATAAAATAAAAATACACCAGGCGTGGTGGTGCACGCCTTTAATCCCAGCACTTGGGAGGCAGAGGGATCCGACAGTCTCTTCTGTCTTCTGCCACCATTGCACGACACAGGTGCATTTACCTATATGTAGGCAATACACATATACACATATAAGTAAATAAGTAAATAAAATATATTTAAAAAACAAGAGGAAAGGATATAGATTAGAGTTAGCCAAGGGAAGAAATGTAGAGCAGAGACCAGAAGAGTGTCCAATACAGAGCTTTGGTTGTCTTCTAAGCCAGGCATAGTTCTCCATAACTGTAAATCTACTACTTAGGAGGCTGTGGCAGGAGAGTTGCCAAAAGTTTGAGCCTAGCCTGAGCTTAGAGTGTGTCAAACAAAAGGAACTTGTTTTGTCTTTTCTTTCTTCATGCTGTCTAGAAGGGTTGTAAACTCTGGTTTTGCTGTTTTTCAGTGCCTGAGCAACACTGCTCCGCTGACTGAGTACTTTCTCAAAGATGAGTATGAGGCAGAAATCAACAGAGACAACCCTCTGGGTATGAAAGGGGAGATTGCAGAGGCCTATGCAGAGCTCATTAAACAGATGTGGTCTGGAAGAGACACTCATGTGGCACCTCGAATATTCAAAGTAGGTTAAGATATATATATATAATTTTTTACATTTTGTGTGTGTGCATGCTTGTGCATATGCATGCATGCAGTATAAAAGCCAGAGGACAAATTGCAGGAATTGGTTCTCTTTTTCAACTATGTGGATTCCTAGGATTGAAGTCCTCAGGCTTGCCGACAAGCACCTTTATTGACTGAGCCATTTTCCAGCCCCCATTCCCACTCTTTCCTTTTTTTTTTAAATTTTATTTGTTATTTTTATTTTATGTGTATGAATGTATTGCCTGCATATGTATATGGGCACCCGTGTTGTGTAATGCTCACGGAGGTCAGAAGCGGACTTCAGATACCTTGGAACTGGAGTTACAGACAGTTGTTAGCCACCATGTCAGTGCTGGGAATTGAACCCGGGTCCTCTGCAATAGCAGTCATTGCTCTTAACAGTTGAGCCATCTCTCTAGCCCCTACTTTTTCCTTTTTAAGGAGAGTGGTTTAGTGTTGTATTAAGCATTACTTTGCTTGCAATTTGAGATTAAGGTAGGGTCTGAAGAGCCAACAAGATGACTCAGTGGGGTAAAGGTGCTTCCTGCACAAGCCTGAGGCCCTTAGTTCAATCCCTGGAACCCATGTAAAGGTGAAAGGAGGAAAGGAACGCCACAAAGTTTTCGTCTGACCTCTACACATGAGCTGTGGTGTGCACACCCACACAGACACAGAATAATTTTATTTTTTATTTTTTGAGATAGTATCACTGTATAGCTTTGACTGGCCTGGAACTTGCTGTGCAGACCAGGCTGGTCTCAAACTCAGAGATCTGCCTGCCTGTCCCCTCTTAAGTGCTCAGATTAAAGGTGTGCACCATCATACCAGGCATTAAACTTTTTGGGGTTTTTTTTTTTGTGTGTGTTTTTTGAGACAGTGTCTCCCTGTAGCCCCAGCTGGCCTGGAATTCACTATGTAGATCAGGCTGGCCTTAAACTCACAGCTATCCACCTGCCTCTGTCTCCCAAGTGCTTGGTTTAAAGGCATGCACTACCTCCCTTGGCCTGTTATTTTTATTTTATTTGTATGAGTATATTGCCTGCATGTGTGTAAGTGCACCCATTGTTGTACAGTGCCTTCGGAGGCCAGAAGAGGGTGTTGGATCCCCTGGAACTGGAGTTATGGACAATTGTTAGCCACCAGGTGGATGCTGGGAATCAAACCTGGGTCCTCTGCAAGAGCAGTCAGTGCTCTTAACCACTGAGCCATCTCTCCAGCCCTAGTAAAACTTTTTAAAAAAGTAGTATCCAGGACTCAAAACACCATTCATCAGACCCTTCTTTTCTGTCATTCAGTGTTGTGTTCTATGGTAGCAATATTTAAAATGTCCAGCCTATAAGAATTGATTTTAACTTCCAGGGTGAGATGAAGATTTCTCCTAGGTTCTCTTGAGCCTGAATCCCACATCCCTATGGTCTGAGTTAGGACCCTCCCCCCCCCAAGTCAGGGATGGTTTCATCTCAGTAGGTGATGTGAAAAGCAGATTTTATAGAGGAGATGGTAAATTGTGTGGGCTCTGGAACAACTTGAGCTTTCTCTCATCTAAATGGTTTTCCTTCTTGGGGATGGATGCTGAAATCTTATTTTCCCCCATAACTGCTGGGGTTCAAGGAGTCTTTAGGAAGCCCATGGAAATAAAAAAGATTTTTTTTGTTCAGAAAAAGGAAAGGCTCCAGACGTTGTGGTGCACACCGTTAGTCACTTGGGAGGCAGAGGCAGGCAGATCTCTGTGAGCTTGAAGCCAGCCTGGTCAACATAGGGAGTTTCATGCCAGCTGGGGCTACAGGGAGACCCTGTCTCAAAAAGAGGCGGGGATGGGGACTGGAGAGATGGCTCAGCAGTTTAAGAGGACTGACTGTTCTTGCAGAGGATCCAAGTTCAATTGCCAGCACTCACAGGGTAGCTAACAACCATCTGTAACTCCAGTTCCAGGGGATCTGACATCCTCTTCTGACTTCTGCTGGCATTGCGTGACACTTGCAGGCAATACACTCAGACACATAAAATAAAAATAAAAAATATTTTTTTACAAAAGCAACCAAAAAGGAAAAGAAAATAGCATCTTATGGGGACCGGAGAGATGGCTCAGTGGTTAAGAATACTTGCTGTTCTTTCAAAGGACCTGGGTTTGATTCCCATCACCCACATGGCAGCTAACAACTGTCTGTAACTTCAGTTCCAGGGGGTCCAGTGCTGCCTTCTGGCCTCTGTAGGCATTGCATGCACATGATGCATTTACGTATGTAGGCAAAATACTCAGACATACGTAAAAGTAAAAAATATTTTTTTAAAGAAAATAGCACCTTAGCTCAATGAGAAAATCTCAAGCAGTTTGTTAATATTGAAGATTCTCTTTCATCCTTAGTCATATTCATTCCTGAGAAATATAAGTAAATTATTATTTCTATACTAAGTCATAAAAAAATACTAGAATTGACAAGGGCTGGAGAACTGGTTCAATTGTTAAAAGCACTGACTGTTCTTTCAGAGGACCCGGTTCAAGTCCCAGCACCCTCATGGCAGCTAACAACTGTCTTTTAACTTTAGTTCCAGGAGGACTGAGACTCTTTTCTGACCTCCATGGGCATTGCATGACATGGGTGCACTTACATACATGCAGGCAATATACTCATAAACATATAATAATCTCACAGTTAATAGCTGAAGTATTAGACAACACAGATATAGAATAGTGTTTATCCACTATTAGGATGCACCATAGGCTCTGGGAAGGCTTAATATGCCCCTCCCTGGAGTTTCTGATTGAGTCTGGGGTGGGATCTTAGAATTGTTTTTGATAAGCTCCCAGATGATACTGCTGCTGCTGCTGGCTGGGGTCTACACTTCAAGGACCTCTGGTAAGTAGTACTAAATATTCAGATCTAAGGATATGAAGGCGTTTTTTTTGTAAATGAGTCCTATAGTTGCTGCAGGTATCATTTCTAATGTTTTAGAGTTTAATACTCTTGCCAAAGAAGGACATTGGAGTAGGATTCACATCTGTACTTAGATGTGTCAACCCAGACTTTCTCCTTTCCTTCTTAGGATAATGAACCAGATTTCAGGACCTGTGGTTGTCCTGGTTCTCTGACCTGAGCTTTGTAAACTCTTGGGGGGTCCCATTGGCCTCTTCATGGCTGTTTGGGATTTAGTTGACCAATCTGCTTAGGTGTGGTTCCTCATGTCCCATTTGACCTTACAAAGCTATTGTTGATGACCACTACTCTGACTTCACTGGTTTTTGTGTGTTTTGTTTTTTGGTTTTTTTTTTAACTTTTTTTTCTGCACTACTACTTTATTATACTTCTGATGTAGTTGCTTTTGTTGTAGACCCAAGTGGGGCGTTTTGCCCCTCAGTTTTCTGGCTACCAGCAACAAGACTCTCAGGAGCTGTTAGCCTTTATTCTAGATGGATTACATGAAGACCTGAACCGGGTAAAGAAGAAGCCCTACTTGGAGCCAAAGGATGCCAATGGGCGGCCAGATGCGGTATGATATTGAAGCTGTCTGCACAATATTCCAAAGAGGCTTCCTTCTATTGACAGCATGGGGACAGTCTTCTGGTTGTTGGGGTTAGTGCGAGAGTGCGAGTTGCTTTTCACTATTGCTCATGGCAGAGATGTGAACAGAGATGAATTCCAGGTCAAAAAGGAGCTAGCTCTAGTTGCCTTTTTTCTTTGTTTGCCAGTACTCCAGATCAAACCCAGGGCCTTTTCTTGGTAGACAAGCAGTCTACTACTGAGCTACACTCCCAGCCCATCTGTAGTTACTCCTGACACTTCCTTCTGGGTTTCTTCAAGTTACTCAGCTTGCTTAGTATTTCATTGGCAAGCCATGAACTGAGATGCTCTGAAAATTGTTAGGTGCTGATACTATACCCCTTAGCATTAATACTGCTCTCATTATAACCCATATGGTATTTATTTATGGTACTGGTGGTAACCTAGGTTTTAGTCATACTAGGCAAGTGCTATACCATTGGACTGTATTTCTAGCCATACTTTTATTATTTTAGTTTGAGGTACAATCACTAAATTGCCCCAACTGGTCTTCAACTCTATCTCTAACCTAGGCAGACCTTGAACTTGGGATCTTCTGCATGAGCCTTACAAGTAGCTGGATTACAGGCCTGTGCCACCAGATCCAGTCTGTTTTGGGACAGCATCTCACTGTGTAGTCCAGGCTGGCATCAAGCTTGATAGATAGTGTAGAGTGGCCTGGGACTTGTGATCCTCTTGTCTCTGAAGTGCTAAAGTCACAGGGATGAGCCACTAAACATCATTCTCTCTGTGATATCTAAATATTTAGCTATTAACATTAAATTTAGGGTATATATGCTTTTTTGTCTTCATTTTTTTTCTGGTATGTGAAAGGGATTTGCTTTTTTTTTTTTTTTTTTTTTTTTTGAGACAGGGTCTCCTTGTAGCCCCAGCTGTCCTGGAACTCACTATGTAGACCAGGCTAGCTTTGAACTCACAAAGATCTGCCTGCCTCTGCCTCCCAAATGCTGGGATTAAAGGCGTGTGCCACCACGCCCGGCATGGGATTTGCTATTTGAGATATCCTGTTGCATTGAAATTGGTATGAATGTTTTAAAATAGCACATTTAGCCAGGCATGGTGGTGCACGCCTTTAGTCCCAGCACTTGGGAGGCAAAGGCAGGTGGATCTTTGTGAGTTCAAGGCCAGCCTGGTCTACATAGTGAATTCTAGGCCAGCTGGAGCTACAGGGAGACCCTGTCTCAAAAAATAAAAGATCAAAAAAATAATAAAATAGCACATTTTAAAGGACGAACCATGAGTTAACTGAAATGTACCATAGATTAAAAACCTCTAAGGGAGGTAGGATACACATATGGCATAGTCTCTGCCTGGTTGGGTCTCTGTGCCCATGGTGCTATCAAAGTCCCTTAATTTCTGTTGACATTTTAGTAAGCATGATTGTGGAATAGAGCTGGCCTTGGTGTATGTATAGTATACTGAAAACTCTTGCCTGTGCCTTTGCCATCCTTCCAATCCACCTCAGTGTTTGTTACGAATTATTGATTCAGGGAAAAAGAACTGAGATGTTGAGAATGTCCTACTTAACCCTTCTTCTTTCATCTAGGTAGTAGCGAAGGAAGCTTGGGAAAATCACAAGCTGAGGAATGATTCTGTGATTGTGGACACTTTCCATGGCCTCTTCAAGTCTACTCTGGTTTGCCCAGAATGTGCTAAAGTTTCAGTGACCTTTGACCCATTTTGCTATCTAACGCTCCCACTGCCTTTGAAGAAGGATCGAGTTATGGATGTCTTCCTGGTTCCTGCCAACCCTCACTACAGACCTACTCAGGTAACAGAATCCTCACCTTCATGCCTTACCTTGCTGAGTGGACTCCACTGTCTAGCGGGACTGTTTTCATCTGCTGCACGGGAAAGTCCCTTGACTGTCCCCCTTGGGCTGTGTGTGCACCCTTGGCCTCTCTCAGACCTTTGTGTAATCCTATCACTCAGGACCTGTTGTAAAGGTCTTTGGGGCTTCTCTCACTTTTTCCTTCATGCTCCATTCGTGCAAGTATAGTAACATGCTTAACCTGCTAAATGGTCCTTGTGTCTGAATGTTGGGGAACATGCAGTAGAGTTTCCTTAGGTTTGTCCTTAAATCAGTCAAGAGAACAAGCCAGAACTGGAGGCCAGATGAAAGGCATTGATCAGTGGGTCTTCATGTCCAGTTCTGCTGGTGGCTCATAATGTGATATATTGCTTAGTCTTCTTGGCTTTGATTTTTTTTTTTTTAAAGATTTATTTTTATTTATGGTTAAGAATGGTTTCCTGCATATATGCAAGTGTACCACATGCATGCAGTCTACATGAAGGTATCGAATCTGCTGGAATTTGAGTTACAGACAGTTGAGCTGCCATGTGTGTGCTGAGAACTGACCCCTGGTCCTCTGCAATAGCAGCAGGGTCTTATTGTGTTCATGGCTGACCTTGAACTCGAAGAAATCCAGCTGCCTCTGCCTCCTGAGTGCTGGGATTAAAGGTGTAAGCCAATAGGCCTGGCCTGGTTTATTTATTTCTAAAGAAAGGTGATACATAGGGCCAGGTGTCAGTTTGTATGGTTTTACCGATTCTTTAAAGGAAATAATGACCTAATCCAGTGAAGGATAATCAAAAGCAGGATTTGGGAAGAAAAGAGATGTTGCAGCAGTGTTTACACCAAAGACTTGCTTCTCGTCTCTGTTGCTGTGCTGTTGACTCAACTGGGCCATGCACAGCCTCTGAAAGCGCCCCCGTCATGATGTGTGCTCCTCTCAGGTTGTTTCCTACCTCTTTTGGAGGACTTATGTCATCTTGACTATTTCTCCCTTGCAGTACCGCGTGACTGTGCCGTTGATGGGGGCCATTTCTGACCTGTGTGAGGCGCTCTCCAAGCTGTCTGGCATTGCTGTAGAAAACGTAAGGCCGGGGAGTGATCAGTTGCACTTAAGACTGTTAAGTCACTTTATGGTCCTTTGGAGTTTACCTTCAACATTTTAGCCACTTTGGGGGTGATTATTATTGGCCAGCACAAATGTGATCATTGGTTCGTGTCTTGGATACTACATACTCCTGGCCTTGCTCACCATGCATGCAGTAGCTGAGATTATTCCTTCCAGCTTTGGAAACTACCATCTTTCCTCCATTGGAATCATGCCACCCATTGTCAGAGGACTAGGGTTAGAGTTTTGCTCCCAGCTTTTCTGCTGTGGGGTGTGTGGAAAATTTGGCCTTTGGGAAAGCCTCAGAGGCTTCTAGACCAGTTTCTGGTCTCACTCACTTTTTACCATTCCTACCACTTGAGGGCAGATGTTTCTAACATAGGCAGTGCTGGGGATAGCTGTGCTGTTCCCCTTCAGATTCTGGCCCTGAGCTTTAGGAATAATCACGTGATGACTTCTTTGGAGGCAACATGCCAGCAGCGCATTTCTTTAGGGTTCTAGTCAGTGAGTAGGTATGTTATGAGCCATCCTATAATCTTCCTGTACTGTTGATTCTTAGATGGTGGTCACTGATGTGTATAATCACCGGTTCCACAAAATTTTCCAAATGGATGAAGGTTTAAGTCACATCATGCCTCGGGATGACATTTTTGTGTGAGTACTTAGTTTTTGGTACAGGATCAGAGGAAACGTAGAGGCTTTGCCTTGTTTGTGCTTCCAGAAGTGGGGACATTGGTGCCCATGTACTTTAATTCTAACACCTTACTTCTTCCAGCCAACCACTGCTCCAGGAAGCTTCACTGCTGCATATATGTATGCTCTTTCTACCTCTTACTCAGAAACTTGCATCTGCTCAGGAAGGCTTTTTTTTTTTTTTGAGGGGGGAGACAGGGTCTCCCTATAGCCCCAGCTGTCATACTGGAACTTTCTCTGTAGACCAGGCTGGCCTTGAACTCACAGAGATTTGCCTGCCTCTGCTTCCCAAGTGCTGAGACTAATAACGGCATGCACCATGCCAGCAGAAAGGTTCTCTTATGTATGTGTGTGTAGGTTAGAGGACAAGTTTTGAAAGTTGTCTTCTCCCATCACGTGGGTTCCTGGGATTGAATTCTGGTTGTTAGGGATTGAATTCTGGTTGTTAGGCTTGTTGGCAAATGCCTTTACCTCCTGACTCATCTCAATGGCCTGCAAAGTTCTTAGGATTTTTTAAAAATTTAATTATCTGTACTGTGGGTTGTACTTGGGATTTCCTCACATGCTAGGCAAACACTCTACTACTGAACTCCAGCCCCTTTAAACTTTTTTTGAGACAGGGTCTTATGTAGCCTTGACTGGCCTGGAAGTCCCTGTGTAGAACAGACTGGCCTAGAACTCACAGAGATCTGTCTGTCTCTGCCTCCTGAGTGTTGGGATTAAAGACTAGAGCTGTCATGCCCACCTCCTTTTTAAAATTTTAGAAAAAAATCTAAGTTGCCTAGGCTGGTCTTTAACTCATTCTGTACTCAAGCAGGTTTAGAACTTATGATCATTCTGCCTCTGTCTGCATTCCAAGTACCTAACTCAGCAATTCTTAGGATTTTGGTTTGGGGTAAGGAATGTAAAACATTGTATTTTTGGGCCCATCACTTCTAGTGCTTCTAGATCACGTTAAAAGGAATCATACCCTCCCTCTACCAAGATCCAGTCCTCGTTCTGTTTGTATTTGCATGTGCCCTCTCTCTACTCACAGCAGTCTTCATGACAAGTGGAAAGCACACAGGCTGACTGCACTGGAGACAAGAACATGGAAAAGATAGCTTTTGTACCCTCCTTTTTTCTTTTTTTTAACATTTATTTATGCATTTATTTTTAATTTTTAAAAATTTTATGTGTATGTGTGTATTGCCTGCATGTATGTAAGTGCATCCATGTTGTGGAATGCCCACAGAGACAGAAGAGGTTGTCGGATCCCCTGGAACTGGAGTTAGGGACAGTTGTTAGCTGCCATGTTGGGTGCTGGGATTCGAACCCTGGTCTTCTGCAAGAACAGCCAGTGCACATAAAGGGCCAGTCTTTGGAGAAATAAATTCTTTTGAAGATGAGCTGATTTAAAAGTGGCAAGGTGGGCTGGAGAGTTGGCTTAGAGGTTAAGAGCACTGACTGCTCTTGCAGGTGACCCAGGTTCAATTCCCATCACCCACATAGTGGCTTACAGCTGTCCATACTCCAGTTCCAGGGGAATCCAACTCCCTTTTCTGATCTCTACAGGCATTGCACAACATAGGTACATGCAGGCAATACATTGAAACATATAAAAATGATAAAATATGGCCGGGTATGGTGTCGCATGCCTTTAATCCCAGCACTCGGGAGGCAGAGACAGGTGGATCTCTGAGTTCGAGACCAGCCTGGTCTACATGGTGAGTTCAGGACAGCTGGGGCTACAGGGAGATCCTGTCTCAAAAAAAAAAACAAAAAAAAGCCGGGCGTGGTGGCGCACACCTTTAATCCCAGCACTCGGGAGGCAGAGACAGGAGGACTTCTGAGTTCTAGTCCAGCGTGGTCTACATGGTGAGTTCAGGACGGCTGGTGCTACATGGAGATCCTGTCTAAAAAAAAAAAACAAAAAAAAGCCGGGCGTGGTGGCGCACACCTTTAATCCCAGCACTCAGGAGGCAGAGGCAGGCAGATCTCTGTGAGTTCAAGGCCAGCCTGGTCTACATAGTGAGTTCCAGGACAGCTGGGGCTATAGAGAGACCCTGTCTCAAAAAGACCCCCCAAAAAAGAAAAGAAATTTAAAAGGGGCAAGGGTAGAGGAAGGGTGGCAGAAAGGTAGTGTCAAGTTAGCTTAGTGGTAAGGAAGCTTCCCATGCAAGCTGGATATCCTGAGTTTGATCTCCGGAAGCCACATGGTAGAAGGAAAGAACCAACTCCACAAAGTTGTCATATTATCTCCATACACACACCATAATACATAGGTACACACACACAGTAAGTATGTGTTTTATATATGATGGGGGTGCTTGGGAAATGGTTCATTTGATAAAGTGCTTGTACACAAGCATGAGGACCTATACAAGATGAATTGTCTTATGAAAATAGTAACTTAAATTTTTGTTTGTTTTTTGAGCCAGGGTCTCCCTGTAGCCCCAGCTGGCCTGAAACTTTCTATATAGACCAGATTGGCCTCAGTTCCACAGAGATCCACCTCTGCCTCTGACTGCAGGGATTAAAGGTTACCATGCCAGCTAACTTCTACCTTTACTTTTCACCACAACCTTGCAAGGTGAAAAATCCCACTGAGTAGGCAGACCTGAAAGTTAGGATGCCTCACTAGGTCATTCCAAACTAGAAAGGGACAGCAGTGAACCTGGAACCTGTGCCGTCCTTTCTCAAGGCCCAGCTCCTAACTATTACTAACTGCAGAATCTTTCATTAGAACATACCTGATAAGTTCTTATTAGAAATTCCTCCTGCAGGGGCCAGTGAGATGACTCAGGAGGTAAAGGTACTTGCTGCCAAGTCCGAGGACCTGAATTCAATCCCTAGAACCCACATGGTAGACAAAGAGAACCAGCTCCCTGAAGTTATCCTCTTGAGTTCCGTACATGTGCATACACACACACACACACACACACACACACACACACACACAGAGGAATAAATGTTTTTAAACTCTCCTATGTGAATTGTAGTGAGGACTGTTTGCCAGGCATTAGGGAAGAGGAGTACATGTGCATTTTTCAGAAGTTGAATCAGTTTGTATATTCTGTAGGAAGAGAGAGAGACTCTAGTCGCCAGTGTAGTCAGTTTGCTAGTCAGTTCCAGGGTAACAGAGGTTACTTCTAAGTTGCCCCAGTCCCGTGTATTTACTACTTAAGACACAGATTTCAAAAACATTGCTTTGTATTTAGTAGTGTCTTTGGTTTTCTCTGAATTTTTTAAAAAATGGATATGACCAGGCATTTTCAGGGTTTTTTTTTGTTTTGTTTTTTTTAAATTTCTTTTGCTGGGCATGGTGGCGCATACTTTTAATCCCAGCACTTGAGAGGCAGAGGCAGGCAGATCTCTGTGAGTTTGAGGTCAGCTTGTATTAGTGAGTTCGAAGATACTGTGATCTTGTCTCTTCCCTGTACCCACCCTCCCAAAAAAAAGATGTTTTTTAACAAAGCTGTCAAACAGTTGGTTTTATAAGTTTCTCCATTTGATCAGTGTTTGGCTAATACTCTAGTTATATAGTTATATATCCTTATATAATATCTCATTTTACTGAAGAGCATAACACCAAAAATGCAGGGGTTTTTTGTTTCTTTTTTATTTTTATTTTGTCTTTTTGAGAAAGAGTCTCCCTGTAGCTCCACCTGTCCTAGAACTCACTATGTTTACTAGGCTGGCCTTGAACTCACAGAGAAGGCATGCGCCACCACACTTGGCTCAAAAATGCAGTTTTAAAAGGTGTATTCCTGGGGGCTAGAGAGATGCTCAGCATTTGAGAGCACTTAGCCTCTCTTGCAGAAGATGTGGGTTCAGTTCCCAAGACCCACATGTTGGCTAACAACCAACTGTAACTTCAATTTCAGGGACCAACGCCCTCTTCTGAGTTCCTCGGGCATTGCACAGCACAAGGGCACTTAACATATATGCAGGCAATACACTCATACACATAAAATTAAATAAAAATGATAATCTATTTAAAATTTTATTATTTTTATTATATGTGTATGAGTGTATTGTCTGCATGTAGGTAAGTGCACCCATGTCATGCAGTGCCTGCAGAGGTCAGAAGAGGCTGTCAGATCCCCTGGGACTGGAGTTACGGGCAGTTGTTAGCTGCCATGTGGGTGCTGGGATTCGAACCCAGGTCTTCTGCAAGAACAACCAGTGTTCTTAACCGCTGAGCCATCTCTCCAACCCCAAATAAGCTATTTTAAAAAATAAAAGTTTTGCTCCTTAGCAAGGCATCCCAGCAATATGTGGCACACACATAAAATTCTAGCACCCAGGAGACTATGGCAGGACAATTGGAAAATTGAAGCCAGCCTGAACTACATAGTAAAATTATGTTGATATGTCTCAATGTAATAATTAGCCAGATACAGTAAATTTAGATCAATGATCCCAGCAGTTGGAAGACTGAGGCAGGAGGAGTTCAAGGGCAGCCTGGCCTATGTAGTAGGTTCTAGGACACTATGAGATACATAATAAGCCCCTGTCTCAAAAGAAAAAACAACAACAACAAAAAAAAACACCTGCAGGCACACGCCTTTAATCCGAGCACTTGGGAGGCAGAGGCAGGCGGGTATCTTGGAGTTCAACACCAGGCTGGTCTACATAGTGACTCCAGGAAAGCTGGGGCTACAGAGAGACCCGGTCTCAAAAATACCAAAAAAAAAAAAAAAACCAAAAACCAACAAAACAAACCTGCAACTACAAAACAAAAGGGTAAAGGGAGATGACCTGGGGATATAGTACATTTGATAGAGTGTTTCCCTACTGTGTGTGAAGCCCTGGGTTTGATTCTTAGCACCAAATAAACCAGGTATGGTACTGCATGCCTGTAATCTCAGTATTTAGGAGGTAGAGATAGGAAGATTAGAAGTAATTAATTTGAGTCCTTTGCTGACTAAAGATGAACTAGGTAGATGAGCTAGCTCCCTAAGGTGGTCCAGATGATAGCTCTCTGTTGTAGAGTGTCAGATAGTGGCCCAGAGTTTAAATCCTTTTTGAGGTAAGAAGCATTACAGCCCAGAGTCTAGGTTGTGTAGGTTAACATTGTGTTGACAGTGATCCTTTGTGGAGATTGCTGACCCAATCTCTGTAATTACCTTGGAAATAACCTAGCTCCCTTTTCTGCTAAAGGATGCTCTGTTCTTATTGTCCTGGTTCTTGCCACCATGCAGTTCATATCTCTGTTGCTGGCAGTGATCTGCTGCTAAAAATACTTCTTGTGTACTCATGCAGGTATGAGGTGTGCAGCACTTCAGTGGACGGCTCAGAATGCATCACTCTTCCAGTCTACTTCAGAGAGAGAAAGTCCTGGCCATCAAGTACTTCTTCTGGGGCAGTGCTGTATGGACAGCCACTTCTAATTTCTGTCCCCAAGCACAAGCTAACCCTTGAATCTTTGTACCAGGCCGTTTGTGATCGTATCAGGTTGGTGCCAGAAATGCAGTTTGGTTGTTCTGAGGTTAATGGACCAGCAACAATAGTGACAATCCTTCCTTGTGGTTTCTGTGTTGATCCCACGTACTCACCTCTATGAAAAGTGGAGTCATGCCAGCCCCTGGGAGGGATAGGGTAAGGGCTATTGAAATGGAGTGACTAGTATGTCCAAGTACCATGACCCAGGGTTTGTTCAAGCCTCTGTTCCCCAGAATCGTATCAGTTACCTGTTAGGAAGTACTTTAATGGCATTTTGTAGTTGAATATTTTTTCTGGAGTATTCCACTGTTGTTCTAAAGCTGGTAATCAGCATTACTGAGATACACTTTTTTAAACAATAGCTGGGGCTGGGATGGTAACTCAGTTGGTTGAGTGCTTGCCTAACATGCACAGAGTCTTATGTTCAATGCCCACCACCCTATAAACCAGGCATAGTGGTGCTTGCCTATAGTATTAAGCACTAGAGAGGTGGAGGCAAGTAGATTAGGAGTTCAAGATAACTCTGCTAATAGCAAGTTTGGGACTACCCTGGGATATATGAGACCCTGTTTCAACAACAACAACAACAAATAGTGTCCATGACATTCTAAGAAGAAGAAACAGACTTTCTTGGCATCTTCATATGATCTCTTAGGGTTCCTCTTCATTTCTTAAGCCATTAAATTATTTTAAGCAGCTTCATTTACATAAATTTTTTTGTAAATAGCTGAGTGTATATGTTATGTACTGTTTCATAGCTGCTTAGTGCAGTTCAGTGTTGATACTAATAATCTTTTGTTTTTAAAGCCGCTATATAAAACAGCCTTTGCCAGACGAGTTTCTCAGCTCGCCCTTGGAGCCTGGGGCCTGCAATGGCTCCAGGGGCAGCTATGAAGGTGAGCACTGCCAGGGCCTGGGCTGTGGGACTGTGATGGCATTAGCCCTCCTCATCTCCCTCTTCTTTCAAGGTGTTAAACTCATGGGAGGCTTTGAGTCTGGGTTGATGTGGGGGTCTGTCATTCACCGTTGTCAACCTTTGTACTTTGTAGAATCTTCTTCGATTCTTACTGATACAGGTTGAGTTTCATCTCATGCTCACTGAACCTAGAGGGACTGGGTTATTTGGTCAGAGTTACGAAGTAGAGTAAAGCTTTGTTCGTTTGGTTTTGCAGTAGTACTAGGGGTCAGACCCAGGGCCTTGCACATAGGAGACAAGTACTGTCACCGACCACTGAGCTACAGTCCCCAGGCCACCAGAGTCAGGATTTGAACTCTTTTTAGCATTGTCTGTTGGTACTTCCCAGCATGTTCTGTACACACAATCCACCCTAGCTGGTGATCCTTTAGTCCCCCAGGAGGAGAGATGTCCTGACCAGTTAACCAGAAGATTGAGACAGGCTATTCTGGCCATTTCTATCTCCCCAGAAAGCCACAGTCAGCAGGAAAGAGGGAAGTCACAGTTAGGAAATCAGTACAGTGGGCTCATTGTAAAACCCAAAGTTATCCCTTGCTGTGGCCTATGCTAATGAATCCATCTTTACCAGGGAGCCATGTCTGTTCTGTAGTATAGTTGTTACTGTTATTTTAGAAACTTGGGTGGTTCTCTGACTTTATTCCTATAAGAAGAAATGACCTCCAAATTCTTCCTTGGTTTGTATTTTATTTTATTTTTTTGTTTTGTTTTTTGTTTGTTCAGATAGGGCCTCACTATGTACCCTGGCCGGACTGGAAGATCCACCTGCCTCTGCCTCCCAAGTGCTCGACTTAAAGGTGTGCACTACCATACCTGGCCTATCTTCTTAAAATTTTGATTTGTTTGCGGTCACGTATGGAAGGAAGTCAGAGGACAACTTTGTGTAGTTGTTTCTCTCCTTCCACCTTTATGCAGGTCCTAGGGATGAAACTCAGGGCATCAGGCTCGTATAGCAAACATATTTATCTGCTGAACTATCTTGCCAGCCACTTAGCTGCTTTTTTTTTTTTTGTTTTTGAGACATTCTAGCCAGGCTTGCCTGGAACTCACTGTATCCCAAGTTTCCTTTGACTCCTGATCCTCCTCCTTTTCACTTCCCAAGTGTTAGGATTATAGACTTTGAAATTTGCCTTTAACTTCTATATCTTACCAGACTGTTTTCTTAAATGTTGAGTATCTCCTTTTAGTCCTTTTCTCTTGGAACTGAATGATGAAGTCAGGAGTAGACTGTTTTGGGGCTGGAGAGATGGCTCAGCGGTTAAGAATGCTTGCTGTTCTTCCAGAAGACAAGGGTCGATTCTCAGCATTCACATGGCAGTTAACAACTGTCCATAACTGCAGTTTCAGGGGATCCAGAGCCCTCTTCTGGCCTCTGCTGTCTTTTCATATCACAGGTGCACTTAAATGCAGGCAATATACTCAATGCACATAAAATAAAAATAATTTAAAAAAAATTTTTTTTTTTTAAAAAGAATAGACTGTTGTGAGGAAATGCTTCCAAGAGATTCATTTAAGTTCTCTGTTTCCTCAGCATTGAGTAGCATGCCCACCTTACCTGTGTTGTCTGCCCCTTGGCAAAGATCACATGTGAACTCAAGTGCTTAATAAATGTAGAGGTGTACAAGTGTAGATGTACCTTATCATACACAACAAAATATGGAAGGAAACATTACAGTTCAGTAATAAATAAACATTTATAATGTGTTATTTGCTATTTTTGCTGTTGTTTTGAGACAGGGTCTCATGTAGCCCAGGCTGGCCTCAAACTTGTGTGTCTGGGACTGGCCTTGAGCTCAGCCTGTTGAGTTGCTGATGTTATAGGTATGTACCATCATGCCTGGATAAACATTTTTTACAGTGAAATGTGGGAAATTATACAGGTTATTTTTCATATGTACCAGGAGATGAAGAAGAAGAAATGGAGCATCAGGAGGAAGGCAAAGAGCAGTTTTCAGAAGCAGAAGGCAATGGTGAAGAAGAGCCGGGGGATGACCCTAGAGAGACCACCCAAAAGAAGGGGAAAGACCAGCCCCGCCACAAAAGACTGTTTACCTTCAGTCTTGTGAACTCCTATGGAACTGCTGATATAAATTCACTTGCAGCTGATGGAAAACTACTCAAGCTCAACTGTAAGCACTTCTGTGACCTCTCAATCTGGACTTTGGGGACTTAGGATCTATTTGAAACTCATTGTACTTGATACTGATTGCATCAGGCTTTTGTGTTCTTACTAGTACCAGACAGTTGAAACCCCCTAGAGACTGAGGACGCATATATACTCTGTGTCCTTTAAAGGGTTTTCACCTTGTTTTTTTTTTCAGGGGGAAGAAAGGTGGTAAATTTGAAACAAAGTCTCTTGTAGGTCCAGGTTTGGCCTCATGCTTAGTATGTAACTGAGGCTGGCCTTGAACTTCTGATTTTCCTATGTCCACCTCATGAGTACTTGTATTACAGGCATGCCCCACTAAGCTCAGCTCTCATCTTGATCCTTGATGACTTCAGAAGAAGATGGGCTTCCCTATGCTCTCACTGCTCTGCAAGATCTTTGCTCTGGCTCAGCAATACTTCTGTGGTCATGCTTAGCAACATGTCTCTAGTCTTATTTCACTCATAAGTGCATTTTTCTCTCTGCTCCATAAAAATGCTTATCAAAGCTGGGCTTGGTGGTGCATGCCTTTAATCCCAGCACTCCGGAGGCAGAGGCAGGTGGATCTCTGAGTTCAAGGCCAGCCTGGCCTACATAGTGAGTTCCAGGACAGCTGGGGCTACAGGGAGACCCTGTCTCAAAAAGACCAAAAAAAAAAAAACACCAAAAAACTTATCAAATATGATGCAACTAGAGGGTGGTTATAGATTTTTTTTTTAGATCAGGTACCTGGAGATTTGTAATGGAAACAGCTGTACAGTTGGGAACTGGGATGGAGACACATCATGAGTGATGCCTGGCTGAGAGATGCTAGGCACTCCTTGTGTCTTTCACCTTTTTTCACTGGGGAAGAAATTAGTTAACTAGCTGTCTTTTCTTTCTCCACCTTTCTTCCTTCATTTTCATTTATTCACTTACTTGCTTCACAGTAGTAGGGATTCAACTCAGGAATTTGTGCATGCTAGGCAAAGACCCTCCCACTGAGCTGTATCCCCACTCTTTTTTTTTTTTTTTTTACAGACATTTATTTATTTATGTGGGGTTTCTGTTTGTTTTAAAACCTTATTTTTTTTTTATTTTATGTGTATAAATGTTTTGCCTGCATGTATGTAGGCACACCATGTTAAGCAGTGTCCATGGATGCCAGAAGAAGGCATCAGATCTCTAGAACTGGAGCCCTAGGTGGTTATAAGCAGCCATGTGGGTGCTGGGAACCAAACCCAGGTTGTCTGGAAGAGCAGACAGTGCAGTGCTTTCAACTGCTGAGCCATCTGTCCAGCTCTGTTTTATTTGGTTTTGAGGCAGTCTCATGTATCCCTGGATGTCGTCAAACTCAGTATGTAGGCTTGAGGCTGACCTGCAACGCCTGATCTTCCTGCCTCTACCTCCCTAGTGTAGGTGTGCACCAATATGCATAGCCATTTATTTATTGACTATGTTTTCTTTGTTTTGATAATTATTGAGGTAAGGTCCCACAAAGTAGTACAAGCTAGTCTTAAACATAACTTGTAGCCTGGGAAGACCATAAACTGGTGATTCCTCTGCCTTAGCCTTCCAAAAAACTGAGACTAACAGGATTGTACCACAAAGCTCAGTTTTGTTTATGGTGCTGGGGATCACACTGAGAGCCTTGAATGTGCTTGACAAGTGTTCTACTAAGCTGTACCCCTAGCCGTTTACCTTCTTTTTTGTATGTGAGGGGGGGCATTGAGGCAAGGTCTCACTGTGTAGCCCTGGTTGGCCTGGTAGACCAGGCTGGGATTAAAAGCCTATGCCACCATGTCCAGCCCTTTACATTTTTAAAAATAATAACATTATTGAGGTAATTTAGTATCTTTCTATTTAACTGCAGCTCTGTTCTTTCTGTAGGTTCTTTCTCTTTAGTTTGGGGTCTTTTAGATTCTGGCCACCTCTTTAATTGCTGCTTTGGTGTGGGTGTATAGGTAAGGGAGTATGTGTAAATGTATGCCATGTGTGCAGGTGCCTGCAGAGGCCAAAAAAGGGTATTGGATCTCCTGGAGCTGGAATTACAGGCAGTTGTGAACTGCCAGACATGGGTGTTGGGAACTGAATTTGGGGCCTCTGCATGAGCAGCGAGTGCTCTTAATCGCTGAGCCATCTCTCTAGCCTCTCACCTTGTTTACTGGGTCTTGTACAGACATGGAACTCAATAAGCAGACCACACTGGCTGGCTAGCCAGCCCCAGTCTATCTGCCTCACTTACACTGGGATTATACGCACCATGTTGAGTATTTTGCATGTGGGCTAGGAATCAAATTCATTATGCTTAGCAAGTATTTCACCAACTAAATCTGTCTATACATCCCTTTTGTTTTTTTTTTGAGGTAGGGTTTCATGTAGCCTAGACTATGTAGCTGAGGATGATCTTGAACTCCTGGATCCTGCCTTTACCTTCTAAGAACTGAGATTACAGACATTAGCCACAGCATTTTGGCTCTTTTTATTTTATTTTATTTTTTTGGTCTTTTTGAGACAGGGTCTCCCTGTAGCCCCAGCTGTCCTGGAATTTACTATGTAGACCAGGCTGGCCTTGAACTCACAGAGATCCACCTGCCTCTGCCTCCCGAGTGCTGGGATTAAAGGCGTGCGCCACCACGCCTGGCGGCTCTTTTTATTTTTTATTGAAGTATTTTTATTTTTTTACTTATTTTATATGTATGAGCGTATTGCCTGCATGTATGTGAGTGCACCCGTGTCATGCAGTGCCGCGGAGGTCAGAAGAGGGCTTCGGATTCCCCTGGAACTGAAGTTAAGGACAGTTTGTAGTCACCATGTGGGTGCTGGGAATCGAGCCCAGGTCCTCTGTAAGAGTAGTCAGTGCTCTTAGTCGCTGAGCCATCTCTCAAGCCCTATTTTAAATATTTTATTTATTATTTTTGTTTTATGTATATGAGTGTATTGCCTGCATGTATGTGAGTGCACCTGTGTTGTGCAATGCTGAGGAGGTCAGGAGAGAGCTTTGGATTCCCCTGGAACTGGAGTTAAGGACAGTTCGTAGCTGCAATGTGGGTTCTGGAATTGAACCTGGGCCCTCTTCAGGAGCAGTCAGTGTTCTTAACCGCTAAGCTATCTCTTCAGCACCTTGGCTCTTTTTTTTAAAAAAAAAAAAAATTATTTTTATTTTATGTGTGTGAGTGTATTGTCTGCATGTATAAGTGCACCCCTGTCATGCAATGCCTGCAGAGGTCAGAAGAAGACATTGAATCCCCTGGAACTGGAGTTATGGACAGTCGTTAGCCATCATGTGGGTGCAGGGAATCAAACCCGGGTCCTCTGCAAAAGCAGTCAGTGCTCTCAGCCTGCTGAACCATCTCTCCAGCCCAACATTTTGGCTCTTAAACTTACCTTTTTTCAAATTTTATTTTGTTTATATTTTATGTGTATGAGTGGTTTTGCTTGTATATATGTCAGTGTACATGTTTACAGTGTCCATGGAGGCCAGAAGAGAGTGTCGAATTCCCTGGAACTGGAGTTATGGATGGTCATTAGCCATCATGTGGGTACTGTGAAGTGAATCCAGGTTCTCTGCAAGAGCAGCCAGTGCTCTTAACTACTGAGCCATCTCTCCAGCCCCTTACCCTTTTTTGGAGACAAAGTCTCACTGTGTATCTCTGGCTGGCCTGAAACTCAGTATATAGACCAGGCTGGTCTTGAACTCAGAGAGACCACCTGCCCCTACCTTCTTGGTGCTGGGATTTAAGGTGTATACCACCATGCCTGGCTTCAGTCTTCGCTTTGATTACTTAACTCTGTTCCCACTTCTGTCCCTCTCCTTCATTCAGTGGCCTGGGGTGCTTGCCATAGTAAGCTGAGGTAGCGTAGAGGTTGCTTTGTTTTTCATCTTCAGGGACTCCCTTCTGTTCTACCTACTGTCTGACCTGTGTTGGAAAACAAGTTGCTTTATCTGCTGCTATGTCAGATTTTTTTATGGTTTAAGACAAGAAAATTGTCCCTATTACTCCTTCTTAACTCTGTGTATGCCCCAATTCTGGGTAGATTGGAGCCCATTTTTAACACTAAGTCTTTGGGAGACTGTGGTTCAAAGGGTTGGCCTATGGCCAAAGCAGTGCTCTCCTCAGTGGCTGGTGGTGGCTGAGCAGGTGTGGTAGTGCTGCCTGAGTGTGGCCCTTCTCTAGTCACTTGGAGAGCCTTTCTTGTTACTGGTCATTCTATAATGAGCTACACTATGGTCCTCTCCACAGCTCGATCCACATTGGCCATTGACTGGGACAGTGAGACCCGAAGCCTTTACTATGATGAGCAGGAATCTGAGGTAGGTCATTTGGGGTTCATGGTCAGTGAAGTGTGCTGCTTTTTGCCCTAGACATATATTAACATCATTCTCGCTGATTGGACAACAATTTTATAAGTTTTGCTTAAAACTTGGAATGAAAAGCACCCAAGACTTTGTCATTTATGTTCAGAGACCTCAGAAAATGTAGCATATTCCAGGCAGAGAGCCTCCATAGACCTTCATATCTTGAGCCTGTAAGATGCTTCTCCCCTAGAACTTGATGCTTATCTCTCATAGGCCTGCGAGAAGCATGTGAGCATGTCTCAGCCTCAGAAGAAGAAGAAGATGGCAGTGGCCCTGAGAGAGTGCATCGAGCTCTTTACCACCATGGAGACCCTTGGGGAGCATGACCCCTGGTATGCAAGTCTTGCTCTCAGCAGGGGACCCATGTGTCCCAGGCTCTGAGGTTTGCTGGGGCCGCTTGGGTACACAAAACTCCTGGTCCTCAGAGAGGTTCCTTCTTTGTATGGCCAGCCCTACAATAGTCTTTTGTGAGGGCTGTGTTTTCCAGACTGAAAAATGCCACTACCCTGTTCAGAAGGCAGGTCTTTGCTCATAAGTAGTGGTGTTGAGTTCTGCCTGAAAGTATAGCAGCTCTTGTGACTTTCTAGCTGTATCCTTACACAGGTACCCAGGTGACTGCCTGATACCCTGACTAAGTAAGACTTCTCTTTTCCTTTCAGGTACTGTCCCAACTGTAAGAAACACCAACAGGCAACAAAGAAGTTTGACCTGTGGTCTTTGCCCAAGATCCTGGTAGTCCACCTCAAACGTTTCTCCTACAACAGATACTGGAGGGATAAACTTGACACAGTTGTAGAATTCCCAGTCAGGTGGGTTCCTGTGACTGCAGTGTTAAGAAATTTTTTTAAATGGGCTAAAATCTGTATACTGCTTAGATGAGGGATTTGTTAGCCAGGGCATCTGAATTAGGCTGTGTATTACCGGGGCTCTGGGAGGTAGACTAGCTGGAGCAGTCCTTCCTTTCCGTCTCATGAATTCCCACCAATAGATGGCTGTTCTTGCTGATCATCTGTGTCACCAACCAATGGCCTGCTTTTCTGGTCTATCATTGGTGTCAAGGAACCTGACCTTAGTCAGGACAGCAGCTCATTAAGGGGAACAAGGCAGCCAGAGAGCTTGCCCAAGGGAACTGGATACCTCAGCTGGGTATGCATGGTTCTATGAACCTGAAATCCCTGTATTTGGGAGGTTGAGGAAGGTGGACTATTGATCACAATTTTTTTTTTTTACCTTTTCTGTATGTTAGAAGATTTCAAAATGAGCTGGTGAGATGGCTTAGCAGGTAAAAATGCCTACCACACAAGCCTGAGGACCTGAGTTTGTTCTCTAGATTCCACAGTGAAAAGAGAGAACAGACTCTCAGAAGTTGTCCTCTGGCCCTCACACGTTCACATTCACACACATAACACACACTGTAATAATAAAATTTAAAAAGAAAATTTCAAAATGTAGTTTTCAGTTCCCCCTGTGTTGTGGCTGGTTGGGTGAAAGGGCTTACTGGGTTATACTGACTTTTGAGTTTAACATATTTAAGGCTATTGTTGTGCTTTGTGCTTAGAGCTCTGAACATGTCCGAGTTTGTCTGTGACCGGTCAGCAAGGCCTTACGTTTATGACTTAATTGCTGTGTCCAATCACTATGGCGCCATGGGGGTTGGCCACTGTAAGTATTGGCATCTACTTCCTACTGAGGTGTGGAAATATGCTAGCTGGTCCTCTCTCAGTCTGTCCCCTGATGTCAGGGGCTGCCTTTCACAGTCTCAGACTGTGGGGCTTTTTCAGTCCCTCTTTCTTCCCTCCCTTCTTCCTTCCCTCCATCCCTGCTTCCCTTTTTCTTTTCTAAATTTCATAATCTTTTAATTCAGTAATGCCGCCTCTGTGGATCTTTTTGTTTCTTTGAGGCAGGGTCTCACTTATTAGCCCAGACTGGTCTGGAACTCACTATGTAGGTCCAAACCTTAAACTTATGGCAGTCCTCCTACCTTAACCTCCCATGTGGTGGGAATACAGGCATTAGCCACCATACCTAATTTACCTCTGGGAATCTGTCCTAAGGCAATGACTTGACAACACCTCATGTACAAAAATACTCACCTGTTTATAACAGTGACATTAGTAACAGTGTGGGTGAGCAACAACTTACTCTACTGTCCAGGTATTGATCAAAGAGTTCATAGCTGTTTCAAAATAAAGTAAATAATAGGGAAGTGGCCCCTATTGAAAACAGCTACACAAATTTATATTATTATAGAGGATTGTATGTATCATAGCCTGGTGAGCTCAGAAAAAAAAACTAAAATTAATTACCCTTCTTTTTTCCTCTTTTCTAGACAAAGACTCCCTTGTCCAGCTGGCCTGGAACTTACTGTGGAAGCAAGCTGGCCTTGATCTCACAGAGATCTGCCTGCCTCTGCCTCCCAAATGCTGGGATTAAAGGTGTGAGCCACTTATGCCCAGTTTAGCTATTCATTCTTTTATTTTTATGTATATGAGTATTTTGCCTACATGTGTATAAATGCACCCCTGTCATACAAAGCCAGAAGAGGGCATCAGACCCCCTTGAACTGGAGTTAGAGATAGTTGTTAGCTGCCACGTGGGTGCTGGGAACTGAACCCAGGTCCTCTGCAAGAGCAGCCAGTGCTCTTAACCACTGAGTCATCTCTTCACCCTATAGTTTTCGTTTTTTTTTTTTTTTGAGACAGGATCTCATTATGAAGCCCAGGTTGGCTTGGAACTTGCCAGGTATTTAGCCCATGGTGGCCTTGAACTCATACTCTTACTACCTCAGCCTCTTATGTGCTGTGATTATTAGATATACACCACTATATCCAGCAAAAATGTTAATCTTGAGGCTGGAGAGATGATTAAGCAATTAAAGAGCACTGGCTACTCTTACAGAGGACCTAGGTTTGGTCCAACACCTAATGGCAGCTCCATTACCCTATTCTGGCCTCTGTGGGCACTGCACACACCAGATACACAGATATACATGTATACAGGCAGAACACTTACATGCATAAAGTAAAAATAAGAAAATAAAATGTTAAATATCTTTTTTCCCCTATTTTCTACAGTTTCTATAACATGTAGGTTCACTTTAATGAAACATTTTGTTAGAGTTTTTTTTTTTATTGTTTTATAGCTGTGTTGTTTATGACAGGATTTTTCTGTATACCCCTGGTTATCATGGTACCCTCAGTAATCCTCCTGCCTCAGCCTCTCAAATGCTAGGATTAGAAGCAAGGGCCATCAGGCCCAGCGTAGTATTTGCAAGTAACTAAGGTTTTTTTTTTTTTTTTTTTTTTTTTTTTTTTTTATGTGTGAGTTCTTGGACATTCTAGATAAGCAGTCTGCTACTGAGCTGCATCTCCAGCCCACCAGCCACAAGCTCTTAATTCATAATTTTAGATAAAAGAAATTTAAGTCTTCTTATTCACAAACTCTGCATCCCAGTTCTGCAAACCCAAATGGCCAATGTTACCCTAACCAAGATTTCCTATTGAATCCAGAGGCACCTAGTACCTTCTGCTGAAGATTGCAGCCATCTGTTACTGTTTTCTTTAAATCTTAGAAGTATCAGCTCCTTTTATGGGTCCCTCTATAGCACTGGATTACTGCTCATAGCCATTTTTGTATGCTTGGGGTGCTGATTAAAGAACTCAGACCAGACAACAGCAGGGCGTGGCGGTGCACTCCTTTAATCCCAGCACTCGGGAGGCAGAGGCAGGCGGATCTCTGTGAGTTCAAAGCCAGCCTGGTCTACATAGTGAGTTCCAGGACAGCTGGGGCTACAGGGAGACCCTGTCTCAAAAAGACCAAAAAAAAAAAAAAGAACCCAGACAAGTTCTCTATTGAGCTATAGTCCCAGCCTTAAATAGCCATTAAAATAGATACTAGAGGGACTGGAGAGATGGCTCAGCAGTTAAGAACACTGACTGTTCTTGCAGAAGACCCAGGCTCAAATCCAAGCACCCACATGGCAGCTAACAACTGTCTGTAACTCCAGTCCCAGGCATCCGACAGCCTCTTCCGTCCTCTATGGGCATTGCATGACATGGGTGCACTTACCTACATGCAGGCAATACACTCACATAAAAATAATGAATATTAAAAAAATACATACTAGAAGGGCTGGAGAGAAGGCTCAGCAGATTTGAGCACAGGTTGCTCTTACAGAAGACCAAGGTTCAAATCCCAGCACCCACATGGCAGCTAACAACCATCTGTAACTCTAGTTTCCAAAAATCAGATACCCTTTCTGACCTCTGTGGCCACTGCAGGACATGGATACACTTACATATAAGCAGGCAATACACTCAACACACATAAAATAAAAATAAATAAAATAGATGCTAGGGCCATTGCACAGCAGATAATGGCACTTGCTGCACAAGCTTAGAGATCTGAGTTCGATTCCTAGTACCCACATAAAGGTAGAAGGACAGAACCGCAAAGTTCTCCTCTGATACCTACATGCATGTGCCAGTACATGTGCCCACAAAGATTAGGGTCAGATGTGGTAGTACACTCTTTAATCCCAGCATGTTCTAGGCTAGCTACAGGAAGACCCTGTCAATAAATAAAGTAAAAAGGTGAAAACCAAGCCATGCGTGGTGGCACACGCCTTTAGTCCCAGCACTTGGGAGGCAGAGGCAGTGGGATCTCTGAGTTCAAGGCCAGCCTAGTATACATAGTGAGTTCCAGGCCATCTGGGGCTACAGGGAGACCCTGTCTCAAAAAGATAAAAAAAAAAAAGGAAAACCTTTATCTCTGACAACTCTGCTCTTACCCTTTAGAGCTTCTCTGAGGGGTATAGATTAGAAAAAAGACAATCTTTCAGTTGTTAAATTATAAATTGTTTATATATGTGTGTGCGTATATTTTATTTCTTTTTTGGTAGTAGTGATATTTGTTAATGTTTTGAGCCAAGGTCTTAACCATGTAGTCCCAGCTAACCTGTTTGTGTATTTAGTACTAGCCTAATAAAGTAACCAGATTAATTTTTCTGGCAGCCATTAAAACATTTTTTTTTGTCACTTGGCAGACACTGCATATGCGAAGAACAAACTGAACAGGAAATGGTACTACTTTGATGATAGCAATGTATCCCTGGCCTCCGAGGATCAGATAGTGGTGAGTAACACTGCTGGGATACCTGATACTTTCTGTTGCTTTAACAAATAAAGCTGAGAAGGTTCTCCCATCATCTGAAGGGGATCTGGGTGTGGGGTTGCCTGCTAGTTCTAAGATCTTTCCTAATGGAGAAGCTCAATTTTGCTCAAGGTGCTTTGTCCTAGTTGACTAGCATTTCTCCACAGCCATATTCGGGTGCAGGAGGTAGCCCACAGTGAAAGGGCCTTTATGAAGCTGCTACTGGGTATGGATCTGCAGGGCAAGGTGGGAGATCCCTCAGAGTGGATGGTTGTTTAAATGTAGTAAGTTATTTCTTTATTCAGATAGGGCTTCCCATGTAGCCCTAGCTAGTCTGAAACTCACTAGGTAGACCAAGCTGGCCTCAAACTTTTAAAATATTTTATTATTTTTATTTTATGTGTATGAGTGGTGTATTGCCTGCTTGTGTGTAAGTGCACCCATGTTGTGCAGTGCCCATGGAGGTCAGAAGAGGATGTCAGATCCATCCCCTGGAACTGGAGTTAGGACTGTTGTGAACCACCATGTGGGTGCTAGGAATTGAACCTGCACCCTCTGCAAGAGTATTCAGTGCTCTTAGCCAATAAGCCAACACTACAGCCTGCTGGCCTCAAATTTAGGATAATCCTGCTTCTGCCTCTTTGTAAGTGGTTGGATTACAGATTTATCCCACCACACCCAGCTCAAGAATGATTTTTTCTGTGTTTTTTTTTTTTTTTTTGAGAAAGGGTCTCCCTGTAGTCCCAGCTAGCCTAGAACTCACTATGTAGACCAGGCTGGTCTTGAACTCACAGAGATCTGCCTGCCTCTACCTCCCAAGTGCTGGGATTAAAGGCATGTGCCACTACACCTGGCTAGATTTTTTTTTTTTTTTTTGAGACAGTGTTTCACTCTGAAGCCCAGGCTAGCCTGGAACTAAGTACCTATTACAGGCTGACATTGAATATGGAGCAGTCCTCCCAAGCTCGAGCTCCTCCATCCCCACTGGGATTATAGGTTATAGGTGAGAGAAAAGCTGGAGCAAGTGGGTGATTTTTGTCAGCAGAGACTAGACTTTGCATCTCTTGTGTTTTAGACAAAAGCAGCTTACGTGTTGTTCTATCAACGTCGGGATGATGAGTGTTCCAGTGCACCTTCACTCAGCAGTTTCCCGGGTTCTTCTGATGGAGGTGTGAGGCTGAGCAGCTCCCAGCAGGGTTTAGGAGATGATGAGGCTTGCAGCATGGACACCAACTGATGTTGACTGGTGACCCTGCCATCCACAGCAGCACTGTCATTCCCTAGAAGAATGTGTTTGGCACTCTTGAAGACTGTTCATGCTCAATCTCAAAACCAGATGAGGAAATTACCTTCTTTTATGAGAAGAGAAAAAAAGACCGTTTTCGCAGAAGGATTATGTTAAGAGCTGAATTACTTTTCCTTTAAACAGGTGGTAAAACAAACCTGTGGAGCTGAAACGACAGGTGGGGTGTGGTGTGGTGCCCAGCAGAGTATGTCTTATGGATTCCAAAGAATGGGGAGGAACACCAGATGATTATGGTGTAGCCATGAAGACCCACCTGTAGGTCTGCTCTGAACTCCTGGGTTTGGAGTTCTGGTGCCCATACTGGTCACCCCAGCAGTCTGGCTACAGTAAACCAAGCCTGGAGTAAACTTGATGTCCCCTATTCTTTGCTGTTCACTGAGATGGCTTCTTATAGTTTTCTAGAAATTAAGACACTGAAGCCCATTTGTTTGTCTTCTCTGTTCACTTGGAATTTCCAGCCTTCCTTCCCATTATGAAATGAACTGACTGTGTTGTGATTGAGTGTGCCTCAACCTCCCATGGAACCTATAATTTTTTTATGTCCCCCTCTGTCCTTGATAAACAGAGACCTAATCTATGTGGAACTTTTATTCTTTATTCCTTAAATGAAGTCCAGTGATAAACTGGGTGCAGTGTGTGGCATCCAGAACATGGTGGAAGTGCCAGCCCCCAAGACACTCTAATGAACATTGATGTACCTTTTTCCACAATAGGCCTCCCCTAGACCCGGTTTTCACCCCAACCCTGCCCGCTGGAACTCTCAGTCCCGAGGCCCCACACCATAGGGCCACCTCTGTCTCTCCTGGTGGGCAGGCCCTAGGCTGACCTTTAACCTAGTGGGCGGGGTTGGGGTTGCTCGTTTCCAGCAGGGACCATTTCCAGCAGTGACCGTTGGGCCTGCCGAGCCTGCCGCTGTTACTGGTGAGGGCGTGGTGGGCGTGTCTGGTGGGCCGGTCCAGTCCAGGCTGGCCGGAGTGTGGGGCAGGCAGCAGCCTGATGGTGGGGCAGGGTAGGCTGGGGAAGCCAGGCAGGGTGGCTCCCGCCGCCTGTGAAGCTGGATCCTCCCTGGGCGGAGCTGGGTCCACTAGAATGGCGGCCCCACTCCTCAGGGAGGATGTGAGTCGCAGAAGTCACGCTGGAGGAAATCAGTTACGTTCTGACTGTGCTCTTCATTTCCGATCCTTACATAATAAAAGGCATGGTCGCTTTTAGGGAAATGTCTGAAAAATTACGAAGATGCCGAAAGGAGCTGACTGCAGCCATTGAACGAGCCTTTGAGGGAGTCCGGCATTCCCAGGAGTGTACAGCCCAGCCGTGGCCGGACACACCGTCCTCGCTGCCGGCGCACAGGCTCCTCTGCAGAAGCCCTTTCGCCACTTGTACCCTTGGTGCTCCTGGTGCCCCCTGTGCGCCTGAGAATGAGAACCCGGCCTTTGCACCACACCATGTCTCAGTTAATGCAAAACCACACTCTTTATACCCCAAAAGAAAACCTCTGACCAGCAAGGAAAACGTATTGATGCATTCTTCCATTTTGGCACTTGAAAGACAGTTTTGGAGAGCTCCAGAAGATGGGGAAAACTGGAGGAAAGAAAGTTTAAGGTGATTCTAATTTGGTAGTTTAATAGCTACAATTAGGGTGAGTTTTATTGCTGAAAAAAAAAATAGTTGAAGATCTCATATTTGATTCTTGACTCTGCTTGCCTCCCCAGACCTAATTCTTTTCAGAATCTGGCCCAGCTAACAGTATTTTATTATATGTCTTTGAGTTGAAAGATATAGTTGTCAACCCTACATGTCAGATCAGTCATGGAAACTACTTTGCATTACCCAAAAGGGTAGTATTAAATAACCTGATTTTTAACTTAAAATTTAAAAAATATATATTATTATTTATACATTAATATGTAGACCAGGCTGACCTTGAACTCATAGAGATCCCACCTGCCTGTGCCTCCCAAGTGCTGGGATTAAAGGTATGAGCCACCACACCCAGCAAATGTGAAGCTCAGGCTGGCCTCAAATGATCCTGCCTCTGCCTCTTCAGCATATCCTACCATTGTGCACCACCACAACTGGCTATTTTATTATTTGTTTATTTTTTACAAAGGGACTCACTATGTATCCCTGTCTGGCCTGGAACTGTCTTTAAGTATTGGGATAAAAGGGGCTACCACACCCAGCCTTTCTTTTCTTCCTTATTTTTTGTGTGATGCTGAGGATTGAACCCAGGGCCTCATGCATGTTAGACTAGCACTCTACCACTGAGCTACAACCTAAGCACATTTTTTATATTTGGGTTTTTGTTTTGTTGTATGTGTTTATAATGTGTGATGCAGACACATAACAGCACCACATGTGGAGGTAGGTCAGAGGACAACCCTAATGAGAGTTCTCTCTACCATGGATTTCAGGACTCAAACTCAAGCTTGTATGGCCATGGCTAGTGCTTTTACTGGTTAAGTAATTTCACCAACTTTTTTTAAAAAAAATATTTTTATGTGTATGCATGTATTGCCTGCATGTAGGTAAGTGCACCCGTGTGGTGCAGTGCCCACGGAGGACAGAAGCAGCTGTCAGATCCACTGAAACTGGAGTTACAGACAGTTGTTAGCTGCCGTGTGGGTGCTGGGATTCCAACCCGGGTCTTCTGCAAGAACAGCCAGTGTTCTTAACTGCTGAGCCATCTCTCCAGCCCCTCACCAACTTTTTTTTGAAGATAGTCTCACATAAACCAGCTGACTTTGAACTCCTTATGTAGCTGAGGATGACTCTCAACCTCCCTAGTGGAGGCATGAGCTACCAGTCCTGCAGTTACCTGTTTTAAAAAACAACTTTGTTCCTTTTTTTTTTTTGGTCTTTTTGAGACAAGGTCTCCCTGTGGCCTCTGCTGGCTTGGAACTCGCTATGTAGACCAGGCTGGCCTCAAACTCACAGAGATCCGCCTGCCAAGTGCTGGGATTAAAGGCATGTACCACCATGCCTGGCTCCACTCCATTTTTTTGTGTTTGAACATAGGCATTGTGGCCTTTAATACCCTACTTTGCCCACATAAGTCCATGCCTGAGCCCTTCTAACCTCTCAGATTCTAAGACTCTCTTAGACTTCTTTTTTTGTTGTCAGTTTTTATGTTTTTTTTTTATTTAAAAATTTTTTACGTGTATGAAGGTTTTGCCTGCATGTATATAAGTGCACCCATGTCGAGAAATGCCCACAGAGGCCAAAAGAGAGTGACTGATTCCCTGGAACTGGAGTTACAGATGGTTGTTAGCCTCTATGTAGGTGCTGTAAATCAAACCTGTGTCCTCTTCAAGAGCAGTAGGTGCTCTTAACCACTGCGCCATCTCACCAGGCTGTTTGCTTGATTTTTTGAGACAGACTTACTATGTAGACCACGCTGGCTTTGAACTCATAGTCACTTGCCTCTGCTTCTGGAATGTTGAGATTAAAGGCCTGTGCTACCACACCTGGTGCTTAGACCTTGTAAATAGCTTTAGAATCCCTCATTCCATGCACCTTGACTTGGAGCAGAAATGATTGTATGTGGTCAACTTCAAAGTCTGGCCATCTTGGCTATCCCAAAGTCAGGGAATAGAGGAGCTGTTTATTTACTGGTTCAACCCCACAAATATATATGTTGATTTCATAAACATTAATGTAGCCTATAATGGGGATGACTCGTGAAGCTATGCCAATTTCACTGATTTAGCAGTTTCTGATTATTCTCACAGGATAAATGACAATTTACAGTTACCAGTAAAATTTTTTTTTTTTTTGAGACAGCATCTCCCTGTAGCTCCAGCTGGCCTGGAACTCGCTATGTAGACCTGACTGGCCTTGAACTCACAGAGATCCTCCTGCCTCTGCCTCCCAAGTGCTGGGATTAAAGGTGCATGCTACCACGCCCAGCTATGCCAGTAAATTTAAGGATTATTTTTATTTGTGTATCTCTGTGCACATGAATTCAGGTACCTATGGAGTCCAAAGAGGGCATCAAATTCCTGGAAGTGGTTGTGAGCTGCCATGTAGATGCTGGGAACTGAGCCTGTGGGTGGGTCCTCTGTAAGAGCTGAGCCATTTCTCTAGCCCGTCATCAGTAACTTTTGTATTTTATTTTATTTTTATTTTTCAATTTTTTTTTTTTTAAGGCAGGGTCTCCTGTAGCCCCAGCTGGCCTGGAGCTCACTATGTAGAACAGGCTGGCTTCAAACCCCTAGAGATCTGCCTGCCTCTGCCTCCCAAGTGCTGGAATTAAAGGTGTAGTGGATCACCATGCCCAGCCAAATTTTTTGTATTGTAACGACATGGCTGTGTAAACCTTTAATCCCAGCACACTCAGGAAGCAGAGGCAAGTAGATACTTGAAGATACTGTGAGTTTGAGTTTAGTTGTGTCTACATAGTGAGTTTCAGGCCAGCCAGGGCTACATAGTGAGACACTTATCTAAAAAAAAAAAAAAAAAAAAAAAAAAACCACCAAAAAACCTGTCATTCCAACTTTAAACTTCCCGTGGTCACAGTCGCAAGTTCCAAGTTCCAGGCAGGGTGAGTCCCTGTGTGCCTCTCCCTTCCCATGCCACTTCAATAATTTCCTTAAGAGTATCTAATTCCCCATCATCTCCTTCCACCCCAACCTGGAGACTACAGGAAAGATATGGAGAGAGATTTAAAAGATGACTCAAATGTGATGCTCAGCAGTTCTAGTCCAGAGGTCACAAAGGATCTGCTTGATATGATTGGTAAGTAAAGCAAGTCGGGCCATTCTTTCCTTAGCCTTTCACATAGGCCAGGAGTCAGCACATCTTCAGTGGAAAACAAAACAAAAAACCTCACATTTATTTAGTAAATTTGTTTTGCTCACAGCAGACTCTGTACAGAACAGTGAAATAATCAAATCCTGCCCTTGCCTTCACAGAACTAGTAACCAGGTGAGGTCACACATCAGATCATTTCATAATGTTGTCCTGGAACTTACTGTCCTGGAACTCTGCTATGTAGACCAGGCTGGCCTTGAACTCACAGAGATCCACCTGCCTCTGCCTCCCAAGTGCTGGGATTAAAGGTGTGTGCCACTATGCCTGGCCTAAAAAAATTTTTTTAAAAAAGATTAGCTGAGCATGATGGCGCATGCCTTTGATCCCAGCACTTAGGAGGCAGAGGCAGGCGGATCATTGTGAGTTCAAGGCCAGCCTGGTCTACATAATTCAGGTCAGCTGGGACTACAGGGAGACCGTCTCAAAAAGATTAAAAAAAAAAAAAATAGACCAGGCTAGCCTTGAACTCAGAGATCCACCCGCCTCTGCCTCCCAAGTGCTGGGAATAAAGGTGTGCGCCACCATGCTGTTTATTACTTTTAAGTATGTGCATGTATATTTGTCTGTGTTGGGGTATGTGCACATGAGGCCCCAGGTGCCCTCAGAGACCAGAGGCATCAGATCCCCTGGTCTCTGAGCACCCAGCGTGGGTGTTGAGAACTAAACTCTGGTTCTCTGGAAGTGCAGTAGTGCTCCTAACTGCTAAGCCATTTCTCCAACCCCGTTTTTCTTTTTTTTTTTTTTTTAATTTATTTTATTTTATTTTATTGTTTTATTTTTTTGGTCTTTTTGAGACAGGGTCTCCCTGGAACTCACTACACAGTCTGACCTTGATTTCAATGAAATTCACCTGCCACTGCCTCCCAAGTTGCTGGGATTAAAGGTGTGTTCCACTACACTTGGCCAGACATTTCTGTACAAATCTGTACTTGGACTATGTGCATCCTACTTTTAAATTACTCATACTGCACAATGGACCAACTGTGGATGCAACAGATCGAAGATTGTCTGAGGCTGTTGGCATGCATGGCTCTCCAGGTTGTAAAGCACAAGAGAGAGACCTGATGAAGGGTGGCTCTTACCTTTGGCCCCCAAACCCTTCAGTCTGGAACATTAGAGGACTGTCTCTGGTAGCCCCAGGAGGTAGACTTGAAGTTATCACTGCTTCTGTCTGTAATTTTCTTAGTCCTAACCAGCATTTTGAGTACCCTAAAGACCCTGTTTTTCATGTCTTATCATCCCTGAAGGTCAAGGAGTTCTGTGAGAGTCAGAATAAGCATGGGTATATCTTCCCGTTTGCATCTTCCTTGGGAATGGACAGATAGTTGGGGCCTAAAAGGAGGGCCTCAAGCTCACCTTCCTTTGGTGCTCATTTTGGTAGCTTGTCTGTCCTAGGGCAGGAATTTTTTAAAAAATATTATTTTATGTGTATGAGTGTATTACCTGCATGTATGTGAGTGCACCCGTGTCATGAAATGTCAGAAGAGGGCTTCGGATTCTCTTGGAACTGGAGTTAAGGACGGTTTGTAGCTGTCATGTGGGTGCTGGGAATTGAACCTGGGTTCTCTGCAAGAGCAGTCAGTGCTCTTAACCACTGAGCCATTTCTCCAGCCCAAGGAATTTTATGGTATGTGTGCATGTGTGTGTTTGCTTGCTTGTACTGTGGTTATTGTACCGTGGACCAACAGTTCCTTAACTGAGGGATATATTGGCCTGCAAAGCTAGAGCATAGGGTTTTGCACATGCTAAGCAAAGGCTCTTCCACTGAGCAATGTAAGTTTTTTTTTGTTTGTTTTTTGGTCTTTTTGAGACAGGGTCTTCCTGTAGCCCCAGGTGTCCTGGAACTAAGTAGACCAGGCTGGCCTTGAACTCACAGAGATCCGCCTGCCTCTGCCTCCCAAGTGCTGGGATTAAAGGCGTGCGCCACCATGCCTGGCTAAGTTTTGTGGTTTTTAATTTATACGTGAAATGTTTTCAGAAACTTCATTAGAATTATAAAGCTGAATGCTCTTTTCTTTAAGACCATACAAGTATCCAAACTATTGAAGAGCTGGCCGGAAAACTGGAATTTGAAAACGAATTGAACCGTGTGTGTGGCCGCTGCCAAGATTCACCCTTCAAGGAGGAAGCCTGGGCCCTGCTTATGGATGAGAGCCCTCAAAAGGCTTTGGACGTTGACCCTGGCAGCCTCAAGCAGGCGTTTGATGATCAGAATATTGTTGAGACTATTCTGGACTTGGAAGAGGACTACAACTTGATGACCTCTTTTAAATACCAAATAGAGTAGGGAAAGTTGATTTGAGCAGCCACAGTGGTTATCATGGCCACACTTTCCAAAGGGTTGGCAGAACCTGAATTAGCACATCCTTTTTAATTTCCATTCTATCTCATTTGAGCTGAGAGCATGGGTTCTAATAATCTGTTACTTTGCAGTGTTTCTGATGGTTGGTTTTTTGACTTGATATTTTTAAAAGCGTGTTTTTGATTGAATTTAATATATATAGTACCCAAGGTAGGTTATGGATTATGTCTCTGTTTCTCTTTGTATTCTTTTACACGGACCCCCTAAAAAATATGGGAGCCATAACTAGGGTGGGCTTTCTATACCTCCTGGGACTAGCCCATCCCACTTAGAAGAATCAGAGCCAGACTGAAGCTTGGCTTGGGCCATCTGCTACCTATGTCCTCTGTTCTCACACACTTGTACACAGGGCTTCCTGTTTCCTGTATGTGCCCATGCCCTCCTCACGTCCAGTCTTGTCGCCCCTCTATTTCTCTATCCCTATCCCTCCCAGCTCAAAGGCCTCTCAGCTCAAAGTAGAAGCCTGCTTAAATCAGAGTTGCTGGTAGACTCCTAGGCCATCTCCTGACAGGACATTCCATGATGCCCCTTACCTAATATATTCACCTAAGAAATCTAGGCTCCTGCCTTGGGCATGTAAGTTACAAGTTTACCTCTCCGACCTTCATATTCATATCCATCTCACAAGTGATTTTCATAGCAGTGACTCTGCTGAGATAAGACAGGGCAAAAGAGAATGAAGGCGGGACCAGGCCATTGCCCTCTAAGGTCAACATAGTAACAAAAGTATGCATGGGGCAGGTGGGGGCTGCCAAGCCTGATCTGAGTTAGATCCCTGAAACACCACATAGTAGAGAATCCACTCCATGAACACATCCTCTGACCTCCACACATGAGCTGTGGTACATGAGAGGTCTCCTCCCAAAACACATAATAAATGTAAAAGCATGGTATGGGGAGCTTGAGAGCACTGGCTGCTCTTGTAGAGGACCAGGTCAATTCCCAGCACCCACATGGAGTCTCACAACTACCTATACCTCCAGTTCCAAGGGATCTGACACCCTCTTCTGGCCTCTTTGGGCACCAGGCATGCATGTAGTGCACATATATAAATGCAGACAAAACACACACATCTTAAAAAAAAAAAAAAGCACGGCATGGTTGACTACAGCCCCACCCTGTGAAGTACATAATTTATTATTTGAATAGCTATTTTAGCCTTGGCGTTTGGCTCAGTGACAGAGTGCTTGACTGGTGTATGAAAGGCCATGGGTCCAATCCCCAGCACTGCAAAAAAGATAAATTGAACAGATATTTCCAGACTTTAAAAAAGTTTTAAATAAGCTAGGCATGGTGGCACATGCCTTTAATCCCAGCAAATTGGGAGGTAGAGGAGAGCTCTGCGAAATCAAGTCCAGCCTGGTCTACATACTGAGTATGTGGGTATGTTCACATGTGTGCAGGTGCAGGCAGAGACTGTAAGACTGAGCCATCTCTCCAGCCCAATGAACAGATATTTTAAAACCATAATGTTCTCTCAGGAAAACTTATAAAATATTGAGTAAAGTTTGATGTCTACCACAAAGTGAGTCCCAAAGAAGTGCCCACTATCTTAGCCAATAGGGGAGGATGGGGAAAAGGAGGCTGTTTATAAGTCCCAAAGCCTAAACAAATCCAAGAGTTGGAAAGACAAGTTGCTGAGAGACTTCCTGCTTAGGCCATTTTCTATACCAGTGGTTCTGACAGAAGGGGAGTTACTGAGCCCTGTGATGCCCTTTCACCACAGGTTTGGTGATTCCTCTGGGCTTGAAGGTAGGAGGCAGCAAACTCCCTTCTCAGCAGAACTTGGCCCTGGTGATTCTCCCAAAACTGTGGTGCAGGACCCTAGCCACTCTGTGGTCTGGACGTCCATGATGGTTCACTGGTTTCCACCCAATGATGGCCATTGGCATTGCCTACCTGGGGCAGGAGAAGACAAGTCTAACCAGCGGCTCTTCCTAAACTACCTCCCATTTAATCCCTGCAGGAGGTGGCATGTTCAATAGTCAGGCTCTTCATGCTCACAGCATCCTCAAATACTTCTACTCAGATTGTTCTGGATGGAGAGATGTCAGACTATTTGAAATTCATAAAAATAAATCTTGCTGGGCATGGTGGCACACACCTTTAATCCCAGCACTTGGGAGGCAGAAGTAGGTGGATCTCTTTGAGTTCAAGGCCAGCCTAGTCTACATATCAAGTTCCAGGCCAGTTGGGGCTACAGGGAGACCCTGTCTCAAAAAGACCAAACAAAACAAAACAAAACAAAAAACCTCAAGGAGCTGGAGAGATGGCTCAGCAGTTAAGAGCACTGACTGCTCTTGGAGAGGACCTGGGTTTGACTCCCAGCAACCACATGGCAGCTAACAACTGTCCATAACTCCAGTTCTGATGCCCTCTTCTGACCTCCGTGGGCATTGCATGGCACAGGTGCACTTACACACATGGAGGCAATGCACTTATACACATAAAAATAATAAAAATAGATCTCAAAGACAGCATATTGCTTAACACATGTGAATGTAGAGACTTCTATCGAGGAGGTAGGGCTAATTCTTACCTCTCCCCATATTTCACCCTTAAGGGCGAGCTAGACTTACTTATTCAAAGATAAATCAGAAACTTAAAGTGGAGAAACCTGAAGATTTTGCCTTAACCAAGTGATGAAGGGTAACACCACCAATGATGTCATGTAGCTGTCCCATACACTATGACAGGACAATAAAAGTGTGGTGATATGTAATAGTAATCACAGCTCTTGACAGCCAGAGGCAGGATGGAAGCAAATTAAGAGGCCAACCTGGTTTACATAAGTGAGACCCTGTCTCACAAAAAGAAAATGAGGGTCTGGAGAGATGGTTCAGCGGTTAAGAGTATGGAATGCTCTTGCAAAGACCTGAGTTTGATTCCCAGCACCCACAAGGTGGCTAACAACCATTCCTAACTCCAGTTCCAGGGGATCTGATACCCTCTTCTGACCTTTGTGGGCAGTGTACAACACAGGTGTAGTTATACACATAGAGGCAATATATTCATACACATAAAAATAGTTTTTTGCCTTTAAATGTTTTATTAGTCTGTCTTCAGTCACAATTTGTCTCAAAGGTACAAAGGGGAATGGATGGAAGTGTCAGGGGAAAGGCAGGTAAAAGATGGCAGAAATTAAGGCATCATGAGTTATTGCTTTGATAGGCCTTTTTTTTTTCCTGGTTTAGCAGTCTTCTGGGCTTTAATCACTTGGCTTATTTTACCATCTGCAAGCCAAGATTTATTAAGTCTATTTAAGGTTTTTTTTTTTTTTTTTTTTTTTTTTGGTCTTTTTGAGATAGGGTCTCCCTGTAGCCCCAGCTGTTCTGGAACTCACTATGTAGACCAGGCTGGCCTTGAACTCACCGAGATCCACCTGCCTCTGCCTCCCGAGTGCTGGGATTAAAGGCGTGCACCACCACACCTCGCTCTTTGGGGTCTTTTTACCCTAACTGCCTAGCAAATTCTTACCTCCTATTATCACACCATCCTCTGAAGAGTTTACCCAACTTTTGGATAGGGAATCAGGACACAGACTGCTCTGGCTTCTTCCATGCTGAACAGGGACCTGCAAGGTGAGGCAACTGTACCCCTTCAGTGGGTCTATCTAAGACTCCCAAAATGAATAACTCTTCTCCCCACATGGAGGCAGGATCCAGTGCTCTCAGGCAGTCCCCAGCATTCTCAGCCCCTATGCCAGAAGGAGGCCAGAACCTGGTACTCTGGCAGTCTGCTGAGATCACAGCTGCTACACCGATGGAGGTTGGAACCCACCCTCTCAGGCTGTCTGCTAGGATCTCAGCCTTAGCCTACCAAAGCCAGATCTGCCATAAAAATTGTTTTAATTTTTTTTTTGTCTTTTTGAGACAGGGTCTCTCTGTAACCTTAGCTGGCCTGGAACTCACTATGTAGACCAGGCTGGCCTTGAACTCACAGAGATCCGCCTGCCTCTGCCTCCCCAGTGCTGGGAGTAAAGGCATGCACCATCATGCCTCTCAAGTGCTGGGATTAAAGATGTGCGCCAGCACGCCCGGCTATTTTTATTTTTTAGTATTTTATTATTTTTATGTGTATGAGTGTATTGCCTGCATGTATGTGAGTGCACCCATGTCGTGCAATGCTGCAGAGGTCAGAAGAGGGCTTCGGAGTCCCCTGGAACTGAAGTTAAGGACAGCTCATAGCCGCTTTGTGGGTGCTGGGAATCAAACCTGGGTCCTCTGCAAGAGCAGTCGGTGGTCTTAACCACTGAGCCATTTCTCCAGCCCCTTATTAAAAACTTTTATTATTTTTATTTTATGAGTATGCTTGTCTTGCCTGCATGTAGGTACGTGGGCCCCTGTCATGCAATGCCGGTGAAGGTCAGAAGAGGCTGTTGGATTCCCTGGGACTGGAGTTACAGACAATTGTTAGCTGCCATGTGGGTGCTGGGATTTGAATCCGGGTCTTCTGCAAGAACAACCAGTGTTCTTAACTGTTGAGCCATCTCTCCAGCCCATAAAAATTGTTTTTGTTTTAAATTTTAAAATATTTTATTGCCGGGCTTGGTGGCGCACGCCTTTAATCCCAGCATTCGGGAGGCAGAGGCAGGCAGATCATTGTGAGTTCAATGTCAGCCAGGTCAACATAGTGAGTTCAGGTCAGCTGGGACTACAAGGAGACCCTGTCTCAAAAAGACAAAAAAAAATGTTTTTAATTTTATGTGTATGAGTGTATTGCCTGCATGTATGTGAGTGCACCCTGTGTTGGGCAATGCCACAGAGGTCAGAAGAGGGCTTTGGATTCCCCTGG